TAAGGCCAAGGGAGGAGAAATTAACCTCGCGGCTCAAATTTCAGTGCTGGTTCAAGTTGCTGAGAACCACAACTACCTTGTTAATGTGCAATGGTTTTGTAAACAGTTTTACATATTCATAGGCTTGATCAAGTTGTCACTGATTTACTTTTACTTTATCATTTCATTATTTAAAACATTTTCTTTATATGCAATGGTGAAATACGAGGGGAGGGGAAAGTAACAAGAAAGTTAGCATGCATGTATTGACTGATCATGTAAGAATGCACAAATAACTTGGCTGGCTAGCAAGCCTAGATTGAACAGAACACAGCTAGCTGCATTTCCTACATTTTTTAAATGTTCAAATGTCTTGCCTCCAAACCAGTCGGGAACGACTATTTTGTCCTGCCAAGCCAATGCCATGGAGTGAAATGAACGCATCAGTTGCCATCTGTCCCTGAAAACAAATGTTAAAAAACGATTTGCTACATTTGTAATTAGCTGGCTAGCAAGTTCACCAATTCAGGATAAAAAAAACTGCTGATTTTAAGATTAGTTTGTTTAGTTGTTCATCCCTAAACAGCTAATAACCAGGACGAGATCTCCTGCTAGCAAGCCATCGTGTCCAACCAGCTAACTTAGCTTGGCTAGCGGGCTGATAAACACCAGTGACTTAACATTTGAATTCAAAATTCATATTAAACATATTGTTGAACATTTTAACCAAATTTGGTGAATAAATAAACGTAATACTTACATTTAACAAAGTTATTCCTTGTTCCTTACATTTTCTCCCAAGCAGGATAATTTTTTTAATTTTCGCTGTGTCACAAGGTGTTATGGGAAGGGAACGAAAAAGTATGCTGCCATGCGTGCTTTGTTTTCCAGACCTCCCAAGTACGCTTATAGAACTTCCAATAAATGTAGTACTTCCCTTTTCGCATTCTTATGCACTTTGGACCCCCGCCATTATTCCTCATCCATCAAACTTTACAGTTGGCACTATGCATTTGGGCAGGTTGCGTTCTCCTGGCATCCTCCAAACCCAGATTCGTCCGTCGGACTGCCAGATGGTGAAGCGTGATTCATCACTCTAGAGAATGCATTTCCACTGCTCCAGAGTCCAATGGTGGCGAGCTTTACACCACTCCAGCCAACGCTTGGCATTGTGCATGGTGATCTTAGGCTTGTGTGCGCCTGCTCGGCCAAACCTATTTCAGCTCCCAACTAACAGTTATTGTGCTGACACTTCACCAATTTGGACTATTTTGTGTATGTCCATTACATGAAATCCAAATAAAAATCCATTTAAATTACAGGTTGTAATGCAACAAAATAGGAAAAACGCCAAGGGGGCTGAATACTTTTGCAAGGCACCGTAACTGTATGTATTTTTGTCAGGCAGGACCATACAGCACTGAATGAGAGCAAATCTGACTTGGAAAGTTGTCTATTCATCAGCTACCAAAAAGTAAAGCTTATATTCATCATTAATATTCAAAGTTGATATTTCCGCCTTTGTGTTTACCAGTGCTGGGGAGTAGATCAACTAGTAATGTAACTACATTTTGCAGTAGCTTCATGGTAGTTGAACTAAATTCAAATCTAGGTATTGTTTTCGGTTCTTAATTACTTTTCTGCTATGTAGTTAACTACTGGAACTACACACTACTCTTTTTTGCCTTGCCACTAGTCTATTATTCCACATCTGTTTATCAGGCTGTTCACTCACTGTCCCTCCCTCACCCAGCACTCCCTGACTCCACTTCTGTAATATTCAGACCTGGGTTTAACTATTTGAAATCTTTCAAATACTTTGACCCTTTTCTCTAGCCAGCCTGGAGTGCCAGGGTGCAGTTTTAACACTATCCTATTGGTTCCATTGTGCCAGGCAAGCTCAAATAGTATTTGAACCCAGGTCTGGTACTGTTTATCCAGCAGTTTTCCTCCAGTGGGTCAGTCAGTGGGCTGTTGGGTGGAGGGAGGGAGTATAAGGATCAATAGAAGGGCTGCATTATCCGGCCTCATCAGAGATGCAGGACGCTAAGGAGCCGGGAGAAAGAACAGCTGACTACTCACTTTTGTCTCGTACACAACCTGGTCTTCTCCAGAGAATCATGCACATCTTCTGCCCAAACACAATATCAAACACCAACCTCCTTAGACAAATGAAGCAAGAAGCCATGGATGCCATACTCAAGAGACGCCGCTGGATTGGACAGGTCCTGAGAAAGAGTACAGACTCCATCCCAAGAATAGCTGTCCATTGGACTCCAGTGGGCAGAAAGTATTCATACCCCTTGACTTATTCCACATTTTGTTGAATTCAAAATGGATTACATGTATTTTTTTTCTCACACATCTACACACAATTTAAAATGTATTGAAAATTAAATATAGAAATATATAACTTACATAAGTATTCACACCCCTGAGTCCCCAATACATGTTAGAATCACTGTTGGCAGTGATTACAGCTGTGAGTCTTTCTAGGTAAGTCGCTAAGAGTTCTGTCAAGTTGGTTGTTGATCATTGCTAGACAGCCATTTTCAAGTCTTGCCATAGATTCTCAAGCCGATTTAAGTCAAAACTGTAACTAGGCTAATCAGGAACATTCAATGTCGTCTTGGTAAGCAACTCGTGTATATTTGGCCTTGTGTTTTAGGTTATTTTCCTGCTGAAGGTGAATTTGTCTCCCAGTGTCTGTTAAAAAGCAGAGTGAACCAGGTTTTCCTCTAGGATTTTGTTTATTTGTATCCTAAAAAACTCCCTAGTCCTTGCCGATGACAAGCATACCCATAACATGATGCAGCCACCACCATGCTTGAAAATATGAAGAGTGGTACAGTGATGTGTTGGATTTGCCCCAAACATAACACTTTGTATTCAGGACATAATGGTGAAATCCCTGAAATCCTTCCTCGCTGGCAACTGAGTTAGGAAGGACGCCTGTATGTTTGTAGTGACTGGGTGTATTGATACACCATCGAAAATTTTTACCCATCTACCAATAGGCACCCTTCTTTGCGAGGCATTGGAAAACCTCCCTGGTCTTTGTGGATGAATCTGTGGTTGAAATTCAATACTCGACTGAGTGACCATACAGATAATCGTATGTGTGGGGTACAGCGATGAGGTAGTCATTCAAAAGCATGTTAAACACTATTATTGCACACAGAGTGAGTCTTATGTGACTTAATCACATTTTTACTCCTGAATTTATTTAGGCTTTTTCTCCCCAATTTCGTGATATCCAATTAGTAGTTACAGTCTTGTCCCATTGCTGCAACTCCCCTGCGGACTCGGGAGAGGCGAAGGTTGAGAGCCGTGTGTCCTCCGAAACACGACCTTGCCAAGCCGCACGGCTTCTTGACACACTGCTCGCTTAACCCCGAAGCCAGCCGCACCAATGTGTCGGAGGAAACACCATCCAGCTGGCGACCGAAGTCAGCGTGCAGGCGCCCAGCCCGCCACAAGGAGTCCGGTTGAATACTTTTGACTCAAGACATTACTGCTTTTCATTTTAAAAAATGTTTTAATTACATGTCAAAAACATTATTAAACTTTGACATTATGGGTTATTGTAATTTTATCCATTTTAAATTCAGGCTGTAACACAACAAAATGTGGATAAATAATGGGTGTGAATACTTTTTGAAGCCACTAAGATGGGGAGGACCAAGACAACGTGGTGGAGAACAATCGAGACCGAGCGCCAACAACATCAGCAGAGATGGGGCACGGTGGAGAAGATGACAAAAATGTAGTGCCTTTGTTGCTTCAAATGCACCAGCCGGCGCCAAGGGGATGAGTGGGCCATGGAGGAGAAAAAAAGTTAGTGATAGTAAAGGAGTCTTGTTTAGATTTATTGTATTATAGACATGACAACACAGTATATGGTTTCAACAAGAACAACTCAGAGCAAAGGGTTAGTTAAAGGGCAATAGGGGCAACATCTGCCTGACTACAGGGATTCAGGGGGGAGATCTTGGGGCCACAGCTGGACCTCACTATAAACTAGTAGGCCTAGTAAATAACCTTTATCCTTGCACTGACCCCAAATCAAAAGTAAATGTTCTATACTCTTAAAGATTTTAATGAACAACGTTGCAGTTGGTTATGTGTAGCCAAGAGATTCTAGCATTCATATTGTTTGTCCACGAGTGCTCAGTGGCTGCATTTACACATGGAGCACAACCTAATTATTGGCATGAGCCGATGCAATTGTTCCAAAGTTCAATTAGTGGAAAGAAATCTGAATTGGGCTACCTGTGTAAATACAGCCAGTGAGTCAGCAACAAAAACGCAAGACTCCTGAGGCACTACTGACACCAAGCGGACATTACAAGTACTGTGCCTCTGGTATAACTAGAATGAAGTACTGACCACACAGAACATCTATAAAATCAAAATGTCACATCTTTCTGGGATTTTACATTTCAGACATCTTTAATGCCTTTGCGTCATGTTGTACAGTTTAACTACATTTGTGTCCAATAACCTCATGTCTATATTTCCATTTATATGCCAGTTATTAAGAGGCTGGTCAGTCAGTCATCTGTGAGCTTAAATTGTGCATCTGTACATTTAGTACTGGACTCATTCAAGTCACTTGATCTAAATAATATAACTATTGTTACCATTTGAGAAACACATGGTTCTTTGCCTGCAGCATGTTCAAATAGGACTACCTTCAATCAAGTCATTTTGCAAACAGCAGTATGAAGGCTGGGAACTATGGCAATGAATGACGTATGACAGATTGAATGACTAGAACGCCATCCTTCATATATCTATTTTATTTTTTTTAAAGGTCCTAGTCTGCCAGAGGGTCCAGGTCCATCCACAAATTATACAAAACATGTTTAATCAGTTATTTATCTAAAAACATTCTAAAGTGACATTCCAAAATACATGTAGAGTCAGGAGTTCAGCATCCTAATGACCATGAGGCTGTAAGCACTGAAAATACCTTGGAACAATAACATGGAGCCATTTCAGTCAACCCAGTCAAAAAGTAATCTCCAGTTTATTTTTATTGAAGATGCTTAGGTTTCATTTGGACAAAAAAAAGAATAACATTACTTTCCAAAACAAGTGTCTTGCACAACGCAGAGCTAGACATTGTGCATGGTCAGACTGGCTTTATATGGATCAAAAAGCTGTAAGTTACAAGTGTTCAACATTACACAACTGAAAATGCACAACTACTACCGTCTACCATTACAACACTGGATTCAGAGAATACACCAGTATGCAACACACCCTCTTCTCATTGCTCCTATGCTTTAGAACAATTAAAGACCACATTTATGGGGGAGAAAATGTCAACTTGATTCATCAATTACAGTAAAAGCAGGCAATAGAAAAGTCTAATAAAATAAAAATCGAGGTAAAAGAAGTCCAGAAACCGGAGCGGCAGGACTACGACAAAACTGACTGGTGACTAGAGAAAAAGCTTTGATGATTAAAAACCCACATTGTGCCAAGAAAATACACTAAGGCAGTTTAGCTTCTCTTCTGGAGAATTGCATTAAAGGAAATCAAACATCTCAGTTTTGAAAATGTATTTATCAAAAGTAGAAATAAAACTAAGCATGACATGACAGCAGAACTAACTCAACTTTAACGCCTTTTTTCCTTCCTATCTGACTTGCGATCCCGGTCACCGCGAGAAGGCCTCTTCCCTGACCGGCTGCCTTCAGAGGTGGTCCTCTTCCTGTCAGACTTGGAGCCCTTATCTTTGGAACCTTTAGATTCCCGACCACTGCCCTTGGACGACTTGTGGCTCCTCTCAACTACTGCCTTCTTCCTCTCCCTGTCTCTCTCGGACGGCCTCCTACGCTTCTTGTCCTTCTTCCCCCGGCTGCGACTCCTGCTAGAGGAGCTGGAGGAGGAGCTGCCACTGGAGGAGCTGCTCATGCTGGAGGAGCCACTAGAGGACGAGCCGGAGCTCCCGCTGGACGAGGAGCCGGAGGAGCTGCTAGATGAGCTACTGCTGCTTCTGCCACCACCACCTCCCTTCTTGTCCTTTGACTTTTTACGTCCCCTGCTGGCTTCCTCGCTCGGCAGCACCTGTTCCTTGGGAGCCGCATCATCCTGGGCCTGGGCGGGCTGGGCATCAGTGGTCTGCTTTATGGCACCTTGATCAGCCTCTTGGCTCTGCTTTGTTGTGAGCAGCTCTGGCTCCGTTCCAGCATCCAGCAGGGGGATCTGAACCTCAGGGGCCATAGATGCTACATCAGAGACTTCCACACTAGGGTTGGGCTCTGAGAGCAGGGGTGTGGCCACTTCTGTACGTGCCTCATCTTCGGTTGGTTGCATTTCAATGCTCTTCTCCTGGTTGTCTGACACAGCTGTGGGGTCCTGATCGTGAAGGGGCTCCTTTTCCTTTTCTACCTTAACCAGTTGCTGCTCTTCTACTCCCTTCTCATTACCTACCTCCACTGGACTATCCTCCATCTTCTGATCCCCATCCCTGGCCTGCCCCTCAGCCTCCCTCACTACTGCAGTACCCTCCATCTGCTCCACCTCTCTGAACTCCACTATTCTAGTGTCTTGACTGTCTTCCTCAGCCTCTTCCATCTCATCTGCTTTAGTCCCCCCCTTCTTAGACTCCTGCTCCCCGACTTTCTCTACTGGCTTTTTCTTTCTGTCCTCCTTACGCTCAACCCCCTCTTCCTTCTTTTCCTCCTCTATTGTTGCCTCGTCTTCCTCCTCCATCTCCACATCAAACCGGTTACCTGTCACTTTGACTACCTGACCCGTGGGCTTACCCTCCTCTCGATCTTCTTTCTTCAGGTCCTTACCCAGAGCGTTGTCCTTCTGAGACTGGCGCCGAGGCCGAGCCTCCATCTTATTCAGATGCTCAGCAAATGCCTCACGTCTCTCCTCAAACATAACTGGAAAAAGTGATCAAATAAAACAGATTCAGTAACACCACAATGCACACCAAGGATAGGAAGTGTATTATGGCTACTTGTTGGAGGGCAGAAGAATTTGGCTAATTGCACAATTGCTTACCATTCATTTTTTTCTGAGACTCATCTAAGAGCTTCTGAGTGGCTGAGCACATCCTCCCAGGGAGAAAGAAGATGGGTGGCTTGGTCTTTGTGCGGATGTACTTGACAATTTTTGTGTTGTGCACATTCCACTCCTCTTGCTAGAATACAAAAATGTGAATGAGCATGCAATCTTCCCATCTACATATGGGGGAAACTGTCACACACAAGGGTTTCATTTCACCTCAGTGCAATGTTATTACAGGTTAAACATTTGGTTTTTTTTGGCACCAGCACAACCAATGAGGTTGAATATTGCTTTAAAGTTTCAAAAAAGGTCCTTACCAACTGAGCAAGCTCCACTTTCTGTTCCAACAGTCTCAGCTCTGTCTGTTTGGCACGCCTCTCCTCAAAGAGCTCTCGTCTTTCACCCTCTACTTTTTTGCGCTCTTGTTCAGCTTGAACTTCCAATTTTTGTTCAATCTCAATCCGTTTCTTTTGCTGAGAAGAGATACTTTTTTTATATACACATACGTATATACATACACTACCGTTCAAAAGTTTGGGGTCACTTAGAAATGTCCTTGTTTTCCAGGAAAACATACATGAAATTAGTTTGAATAGGAAATGTAGTCATTGACAAGGTTAGAAATAATGATTTTTAATTGAAATAATGGCACTTCTTACATACCATACGGTCAAGCTGCTCCCACAACAGCTCAATAGGGCTGAGATCCAGTGACTGTGCTGGCCACTCCATTATAGACAGAATACCAGCTGACTGCTTGTTCCCTAAATAGTTATTGCATAGTTTGGAGCTGTGCTTTGGGTCATTGACCTGTTGTAGGAGGAAATTGGCTCCAATCAAGCGCCGTCCACAGGGTATGGCATGGCGTTGCAAAATGGAGTGATAGCCTTCCTTCTTCAAGATCCCTTTTACCCTGTACAAATCTCCCACTTTACCAACACCAAAGCACCCTCAGACCATCACATTGCCTCCACCATACTTGACAGATGGCATCAAACATTCCTCCAGCATCTTTTCATTTGGTCTGCGTCTCACAAATGTTATTTGTGATCCGAACACCTCAAACTTAGATTTGTCTGTCCATAACACTTTTTTCCAATCTTCCTCTGTCCAGTGTCTGTTCTTTTGCCCATCTTAATATTTTATTGGCCAGTCTGAGATATGGATTTTTCTTTGCAACTCTGCCTAGAAGGTCAGCATCCCGGAGTCGCCTCTTCACTGTTGACGTTGAGACTGGTGTTTTGCGGGTACTATTTAATGAAGCTGCCAGTTGAGGACCTGTGAGGCGTCTGTTTCTCAAACTAGACACTAATGTATTTGTCCTCTTGCTCAGTTGTGCACCGGGGCCTCCCACTCCTCTTTCTATTCTGGTTAGAGCTAGTTTGCGCTGTTCTGTGAAGGGAGTAGTACACAGCGTTGTACGAGATCTTCAGTTTCTTGGCAATTTCTCGCATGGAATAGCCTTCAGAACAAGAATAGGCTGACAGGTTTCAGAAGAAAGTTCTTTGTTTCTGGCCATTTTGAGCCTGTAATCGAACCCACAATTGCTGATGCTCCAGATACTCAACTAGTCTCAAGGCGGCCAGTTTTATTGCTTCTTTAAATCAGCACAACAGTTTTCAGCTGTGCTAACATAATTGCAAAAGGCTTTTCTAATGATCAATTAGCCTTTTAAAATGATAAACTTGGATTAGCAAACACAATGTGACATTGGAACACAGGACTGCTGGTTGCTGATAATGGGCCTCTGTACACCTATGTAGATATTCCATAAAAAATCTGCCATTTCCAGCTACAATAGCCATTTACAACATTAACAATGTCTACACTGTATTTCTGATCAATTTGATGTTATTTTAATGGACAAAAAAATTGCTTTTCTTTCGAAAACAAGGAAATGTCTAAGTGACCCCAAACTTTTGAACGGTAGTGTACATACATACACACAATTTCCCATTGGCAAATATTCCAAACTATAGCCTAACGGCTGGAATTATTTTCACCAAGCTAGCTCGAAGGCTAATTCTGTAAGGCGACTTTTACATTTTAGTCATTTAGCACATTTTTCATACTTTTCATGCATTTGCTGTATTAGAGCACTAGTTCACCAGTGTTAAAGTAAAGGGATATTCCTACCCTATCCGTTGCCACATTAGATTCCTGCTTGAATTTCTGTAATGTTCCCATCAACAGGCCAAACATGCGTCGATTCCTATAGGGAAAAAGGACAAAACAAACACAATGAATAACATTTACATGATTTCGTGGAGATAAACAAACTAAAGACCATTATTTCCCTACGCATGTATAATTACATGTTACCTTTGTTTTCCCCTCTCATCCATGGTTTGATCCTGGATAAGGTCTCGACGCGTACGCTCCTTGGAGGTAGCTACTACTGATGACTGCAACACTGGCTGTGTTTGGACAAAGGCAAGTGGAGAGTTGCTTTTAAAACATTGAGGCAAAACATTCATTCAGACATTGAGTGTATAATGATGGTCTACCTTTTTGACATCGTCATCATCCTCAGCGTCGCTGTCATGGCGTGAATCTCTCCTCCCTCGCTGGTCACCGGCCAGCCTATACAGACACGAGGAACAAATATGTTATTTACCGGCCACATCAAATAGAAACCCATTTGAATGCCACCAGGTGTAGCGCAATGCCTTTTTAGGAGTGCCCACTGCCGATTCATTTACACCATATGGAAGTGACTGCAATAATTATGCAACAAATAATGACAGCCTACCAAGTGAACGTTGGGTTCTTGCACAATACACGTCTCCCTCTGTCTATCTGGCATGTCAATATCCTTGGTGTCGATTTATTAGTTTCACTTGTCTGTGCAGCCATCCTGTGTACGGTAACTAGTAGCTAGCTGATTTGCAGTGGTTTTAGAATTGTTTTGCTAACTACTCAACCAGACAGAGGTTGAGGGATGCAAAAATTACTTAATCTCCTTAGAGGACTTATGAGATTTCTGTAAATTGTCTTTTAGGGATATTAATCTAGCAAGATGTCCTAAAACACTGCGAGCCAGTACCAGTTGATAAATTGTTGCAAGCGAGAGCGCAAGCTCAAGACAGTGGACAGGCAGAGTATGGAGATTATGCAATTGAAAGAAAACCTGACCCAACCTCCCTGCATAGCCAGTGTGATTTATAAAGGATATTTACTTTTAATAATGATATGTTCTGACAATGTCATGTTTTAATTTGCCTACTCTCCTCTGGAAATGGGCCAGATCTCTAGATTACTCTTACCTCAGGAGGGCCCCTTCAATATCCCTCTGTTTCACTGGGGGTCCTCCCGGTCCACCGCCGATGTCGGAGAGTCCACGTCTGCAGACAAATATAACATAAAGCTCAAAGACATACAAACATCACACATACTGTTGGAGAGAAAGCCTAATAGGACATTTGTTTTACCTCAACAAGTTGATTCCTCGCCCCCTACCTCCTCCAACACCTGGGATGGTTGGCCGTCTAACTTGGCCCGGTCTGTAAGGAAAGCAGAGAAATGACATACATTTAGCTGAAACGTTAACATAGATCGACCAGAGCTAGTTGTAACTAATTGTTTTTAGAAAAACGTAGCTAACGTTACATAGGTGGGTGTAAATCCAGTAAGAATAAAGAAAAGCAAACATAAATCAATGTGGCATAGCTAACTACTTCAAGAAACGTTAGTTTCTCTGACTAGCCTGGACATGAAACTGAATCGAAACTAGCCAGCCAAACGACACTGGCAAGCAGACGGAGTAGCTAGCCAACTCGCTAACTTTATCAGTTTAACAATAACGAATGGACATAGCTAAGTAAAAACACTAACGTTAGTTACCTAACTCTAGTTATTGCATAAGTATTTGTACTTGCAGCTAGCTAGCCAACTAGCACAAGGCCGATTCATTCAACAGCACAGGCACGCGGCTAGCTGGTTATGCACGAGAATGGGAGATTCCATTTTTGTCGTGGGATTGGTATTTGTAGCTATTCAGCATAGTTAGCTAGAGGACGAACGAATGCTGACATTTTTTATACAATTTACGTTTTAAAATGCTTTTTTGTCATACCTCAATTCATTAGGATCCCGACCAGTTAATTTACGAATATTATCGTCTACATTTTTCAAACTCTCTTTAGCTTTCTCAAGCTGGGCTTGCAAAGATCCCACTGCCACCGCCATCTTAGCTACAGTAAGTAGCTTTCTTCACGGGCACGTCAGTCAAGTGTTCGTCGCTCTTCGCAAAGCATCACTGGGTGATAAGCGCGTTTCACTACCTTGATTAACAACTCAAAAGCCCAATCGGCAACTTCGTTATCTAAATGCACACGCCCATAAATTGTTAAACATTCTCTAGTCAAGACGTCCAGTAATTTGTTGATCAATGAATGATTCTGATAATGACAAATAATTAAAGTAATTTGGTTGTTTTGGTCCTAGATTTACACCACAGAAAAGTGGAGCCTAAAATATCTGGTAACAGTCAATAAAACACTCCTTCAGAATAAATGATTATTTTTTTTCACCTTTATTTAACCAGGTAAGCGAGAACAAGTTCTCATTTACAACTGCGACCTGGCCAAGATAAAGCAAAGCAGTGCGATAAAAACAACAACACAGAGTTACATATGGGGTAAACAAAACATAGTCAAAAATACAACAGAAAAAAAATATATACAGTGTGTGCGAATGTAGTAAGTTATGGAAGTAAGGCAATAAATAGGCCATAGTGCAAAATAGTTACAATTTCGTATTAACACTGGAACGATAGATGTGCAAAAGATGATGTGCGGGTGTAAATTAGCAAAATAAATAACAATATGGGGATGAGGTAGTTGGGTGGGCTAATTTCAGAATGGCAGTGTACAGGTGCAGTGATCAGTAAGCTGCTCTGACAACTGACGCTTGAAGTTAGTGAGGGAGATAAGAGTCTCCAGCTTCAGAGATTTTTGCAGTTCGTTCCAGTCATTAGCAGCAGAGAACTGTAAGGAATGGCGGCCAAATGAGGTGTTGGCTTTGGGGATGACCAGTGAGATATACCTGCTGGAGCGCAAACTACGGGTGGGTGATGCTATGGTGACCAGTGAGCTAAGATAAGGCGGGGATTTGCCTAGCAGTGATTTATAGATGACCTGGAGCCAGAACAAATATGTAGTGAGGGCCAGCAAACAAGAGCGTACAGGTCACAATGGTGTGTAGTATATGGGGCTTTGGTGATAAAACGGATGGCACTGTGATAGACTACATCCAATTTGCTGAGTAGAGTGTTGGAGGCTATTTTGTAAATGACATCGCCGAAGTCAAGGATCGGTAGGATAGTCAGTTTTACGAGGGCAACATGAGTGAAGGAGGCTTTGTTGCAAAATAGGAAGCCAATTCTAGATCTAACATTTGGATGGAGACGCTTAATGTGAGTCTGGAAGGAGATGTAGTATCTGAACAGTTTATAATTTTGGCTGACGTTTGCAAATGGTGTTAGATGAACTTAACTTTGCCTTGCTGAAACATCTGGAAAGCATTACTATAGGGGCCCCCCGAAACAGAGGAGACTTGGATATGTGGAAGCCAGGGATTGGTCTATTCAAAACACCCATATTATGTTACATAGGATAAATACCATGTTTGAACAAAGGACTGGGAGAATAATCATTTTTAGATTGGGTTAGTTGTTCTCCGGATTTTTGCAGAAATCTGTAAATTGACGCTGGAACCTTTGCTATAATAAACCTTTATAATCAAGTACAGTGTTAGCGGATTCCTTGTCTACACAGCATATCAGCATCGTTGTCTCGACACCACAGAGAGTTTACAGTCTAACCAGACACCTAGGTATTTGTAGTTGTCCACATACTCTAGGTCAGACCCGCCGAGAGTAGTGATTCTAGTCGGGTGGGCAGGTGCAAGCAGCGTTCGGTTGAAGAGCATGCTTTTAGTTTTACTAGTGTTTAAGAGCAGTTGGAGGCTACGGAAGGAGTGTTGTATGGCGTTGAAGCTAGTTTGGAGGTTTTTTAACAGTGTCCAATGAAGGGCCAGATGTATACAAAATGGTGTCGTCCTCATAGAGGTGGATCCGAGCGTCACCAGCAGCAAGAGCGACATCATTGATATACACAGAGAATAGAGTCAGCCCGAGATTTGAACCCTGTGGCACCCCTATAGAGACTGCCAGAGGTCCAGACAACAGGCCCTCCGATTTTACACATTGAACTCTATCTGAGAAGTAGTTGGTGAACCAGGCGAGGCAGTCATTTGAGAAACCAAGGCTATTTAGTCTGCCAATAAGAATGCGGTGGTTGACAGAGTCGAAAGCCTTGGCCAGGTCGATGAAGATGGCTGCGCAGTACTGTCTTTTATCGATCGCGGTTATAATATCGTTTAGGACCTTGAGCGTGGCTGAGGGGCACCCATGACCAGCTCGGAAACCGGATTGCATAGCGGAGAAGGTATGGTGGGATTCGAAATGGTCGGTGATCTGTTTGTTAACTTGGCTTTCAAATACTTTCGAAAGGCAGGGAAGGATGGATATAGGTCTGTAACAGTTTGGATCTAGAGTGTCACCCCCTTTAAAGAGGGGGATGACCGCGGCAGCTTTCCAATCTCTGGGGATCTCAGACGTTACGAAAGAGAGGTTGAACAGGCTAATAATAAGGGTTGCAACAATTTCGGCTGCTAATTTTAGAAAAAAAGGGTCCAGATTGTCTAGCCCAGCTGATTTGTAGGGGTTTCAGCTCTTTCAAATCATCAGCTGTCTGAATTTGTGTGAAGGAGAAGCGGGGGGGGGGCATGGTCCTCTGTAGCTCAATTGGTAGAGAATGGCGCTTGTAACGCCAGGGTAGTGGGTTCGATCCCCAGGACCACCCATACGTAAAAATGTATGCACACATGACTGTAAGTCGCTTTGGATAAAAGCGTCTGCTAAATGGCATATTATATTATTATAATAAGTTGCAGCGGAGGGTGCAGAGCTGGTGGCAGCCAGGTGGAAAGCATGGCCAGCCGTAGCAAAATGCTTGTTGAAATTCTCGATTATTGTAGATGTATCGGTGGTGACAGTGTTTCCTAGCCTCAGTGCAGTGGGCAGTTGGGAGGAGGTGCTCTTATTCTCCATGGACTTGAGTGTCCCAAAACTTTTTGGAGTTAGTGCTACAGGATGCAAATTTCTGTTTGAAAAAGCTAGCCTTTGCTTTCCTAACTGATTGTGTATATTGGTTCCTGACTTCCCTGAAAAGTTGCATATCGCGGGGGCTGTTCGATGCTAATGCAGTACGCCACAGGATGTTTTTGTGCTGGTCAAGGGCAGTCAAGTCTGAGGAGAACCAGGGGCTATATCTGTTCTTAGTTCTGCATTTTTTGAATGGGGCATGCTTATTTAAGATTGAGAGGAAAGCACTTTTAAAGAACAACCAGGCATCCTCTACTGACGGAATGAGGTCAATATCCATCCAGGATACCTGGGCCACGTCAATTAGAAAGGCCTGCTCGCTAAAGTGTTTTAGGGAGCGTTTGACAGTGATGAGGGGTGGTCGTTTGACCGTGGACCCATTATGGACGCAGGCAATAAGGCAGTGATCGCTGAGATCCTGGTTGAAGACAGCAGAGGTGTATTTAGAGGGTACATTTGTGAGGACGATATCTATGAGGGTGCCCATGTTTACAGATTTAGGGTTGTACCTGGTAGGTTAGTTGATAATTTGTGAGAGATTGAGGGCATCTAGTTTAGATTGTAGGTTGGCTGGAGTGTGAAGCATATCCCAGTTTAGGTCACCAAGCAGTACGAACTCTGAGGAAAGATGGGGGGGCAATCAGTTCACATATGGTGTCCAGGGCACAGCTGGGGGCTGAGGGGGGTCTGTAGCAAGCGGCAACAGTGAGAGACTTATTTCTGGAAAGGTGGATTTTTAGAAGTAGAAGCTCAAACTGTTTGGGCACAGACCTGGATAGTATGATAGAGCTCTGCAGGCTATCTCTACAGTAGATTGCAACCCCACCCCCTTTGGCAGTTCTATCGAGACTCTATCGGGATTCAGAGACTGCTAGAACATCAGGGTTGGCGGAGTGTGCTAACGCAGTGAATAACTCAAACTTAGGGAGGAGGCTTCGGATGTTAACGTGCAAGAAACCGATGTCCGATGTCTTTATGGCATACAGTTTTTCTTGATGGTACATAGCAGTGGTGGGCATGTAGAGTTGGAAGCCACAACAATCGTGGACGCAAATTTTTTATTTCATTCCTGAAATAGCAGAAGGTGAACACAATCTATAATAGAATAAAATCAACTGTCCAATTGCACCAGAGCAGCAGGTTGCCTAGCAGTCTAGAGCTTTGGGCTAGTAACCGAAAGTCGCTGGTTTGAATCCTGAGCAGACTAGGTAAAGAAATATGCCAATGTACCCTTGAGCAAGGTACTTGACCCTAATTGCTCCTGTAAGTCGGTTAAGAGTGTCTGCTAAATGACAAATGTAAATTTATTGGGTCTAATGTTCTCCAGAAGACTCAATAGTTGCTTTATCTAAATGCTTCAAATCGCCACAGTACAACTCCCTGTGGATCCTAAATCTGAGCATGGAGATGGGTTCATAGAGCTACAGTTCATGGGGTGATGAGTTTCAGCCTCATCGTAGATTTCATCAACCCGTTTAGTCCTCCTTATCGGCCAAGTCGTTTTGATCGAAGTACCTATGTAAAAAAACAACAACATGAGCAATCAAATGACATGGTTTCCTGGCTGTGAGTGTTTGTGAAGTCAAATAAACTTACCTTGCAACAAGGCAGATCATCAAGTTGAGAGGAGACAAACTTTCATCTTCCTGGCGTTCCTGTAATGGGAAAGAAAACAAACAAAATAATGACTATAATACTCTGTTCATCATGATCAAACATTATCATGCAAACATTTGAGCATCTAATGTAGTAACATTTAAATTCTCTCCATAAGGAAGTTGGTTTGCAACCTCTCATCTCAACATCCATTAATACAAGCCACTATATCACCCTACCAGATTGGCCCGCACTTCAGAACTCCGTCTGGCCAGCTGTCTTATTAGAGAATGTGCTTCAGGGATGAGAGGTTTCTCAAGGCAAGCCAGTAGTGCATACTGCCATCTTCCCTAGAGAAGTTGAGCACATATTAGCCATGAAAGCATAAAAATGCACAAACTGTGTTGATACTGAAACTGAACTTACTAACTGTGGGACAAACTCTCTCTCTTCAAACCAGTTGATCAAGTACTCCAAAACTGCAGAGACTGTGGCCTAGTAGGGAAGAATAATTTAGTTGTGTCAAACACGAGTATCATCATTGAGGTAATGAAAGAAAGCATAAATTGATGAGAAATGAGTGTAGTAAGTATCATGCCAATGCTGTGAAAACACTCACCTGATTTAACCTGCTCACTATGCTAAGGAAAGGTGGAAAACCAACCTGGTGAAACAGATGGGTAAATGTCAGACATGATTAATGGCAAAATCTTTACACAAAAATCTTACATGATGCCTCACTTAGATATTTCCTCTATGGTCTATATACAGTTACCTTTACATAATCAAGGCCTGGATCTTCACTACCAGGGTCAGTGGGAGGAGAGTTCAGATAAACATTTTCACCCAGGCAGAACTTTTTCCACTGTTCCTCTGAGTCCTGTTTTGGCTGGAGATAGACAGAACACATGCTTAAAGGTTGTTGTATTTTACAATTCACTTTTACCAACAACAAAAAATCATAATCTCATACTTACCATTAACACATTGTCATCTAAAGCTTGACCACTCCAGTGTTGTCTGTGCTTACTGATACTCTGCAAGCAGTAAAACATTATCAGAAAAATTCACTTCAAAACAAAGTGACAAACAACTCGAAAGGGTAGTGAAATCTATAATTACCCGTCTTATTTCTGAGAAGTTGCTGACTTGCTGTCGCTGCCATTTTAAACTCGGTGAAAATCCTTGTGGAGCAGCTTGGCAACCCGTGAGCTACCAAATAGAAGATTTGACAGGTTTAACAGCGGTCGGCATCCAATTTGTTGCATTACCACCACCTACTAGACTGGAGTACAACTCCCTTATATTTTGCTTGAAAAATAAAGAAATACCCTACCATCTAACGCTACACTCACAAATTCAAAAATATCATTAATAATTAACACCACCCTACTCCACTATTTAAATATATTCATTCCTACCTCATGCCCTCAAACTGAAATGAAGGAACATCACCACTTAACACTCCCTGTAACTCTTCTGATGTCAAGTCTCGCACACCCAAATACCTCTCTGCAGCTGCCACCACAACCTCAATTTTCTTAGACTTACGTTCCATCCCTGCAGTACAATTAATAACCATTATTATAAATGCTAAAAATCCAATCTTACTGAAACATATATCACTTGTTGGCCTATCCCTCTGTACTGGTACATACCTACTACTCTCACCACTCCTCCCCCTTGACCCATCTTCCTCTACTTTCTTCACTGTCTCAGCATATGACAACTTCTTGACTACTCTTACCCTGGAAACCTCAACCTGCCTCTCTCGCACGGGACATTTCTGATCCCCAGCCCCATGGGCACCCCTACAATTAGCACATACCACTACTTTCCCCATTGCTACACATTCCTTTGTCTCATGCCCTTCTGCACACTTCTCACACATTGGAACCTCCCTCCTACACACTGCTGCCACATGCCCATAAGTTTGACACCTGTAACATCGTAATGTATTCGGCACATAAACTCGTACAGGATAACTTATATATCCTAACTTCACTTTGTCAGGCAAAGACTCAACTTCAAAACTCTAAAGAACAGACAATGACTATTCTGTTTCCCCACTCTCGCCACCCTGTTTGCGTCGCACCAAACGACGAGCATCACAAACACCGGGAATCTTCCCCTTCAGTTTGTCAACTTTTACATTTACTGTTACCCCAGTAATCACTCCTTTCAATGGCGCCCTTTTCTTGAGAGCGAAACAATTCACAATTATTTCCCCCATTTGTTTAACTCTGAGCACCTTCTCCCACTGACCAACAGAAACACAAACAATTATCACCAGACCACTTCTGGTAACACTCACCGATTCGACTATACCCAACTCTTTTTTCACCCATCCTGAAACCACAAATGAATCAGCCAAAAGGCAAGGGTCCACTTTTTCCAAAAACGTAACTGCTACTGTCACAGACTCATCTTTATCCTGACCCTCTGTGCAAGCCTCGGGCTCCGAGTACTTCACCACACCTACCACCGCCTATACTTCACCCTCATTCACTTCCATTTCTCCTCCCATCTCCAGCTCACTTTGCTTACATTTCCTACCATTCTTCTTTAACAAACCTTCTCCCTTTTTTCCGCCATTTTTTACCGACTCAAGCTCACAATCTTCCTCCCTCTCTTAGACCTCCTCTGCATCTCTTTTTCCCTCCATTCCTCCTCCGTCATCCATGTATACGTCTCCTTATGATAATACTGCACTTCTCCTGACAGACATCTGTTTCTTGCTTTCTGAAGGGACTCCATTTACGAGGCGCTCCCCCTTCACGCCCATCGGCCAGCTTTTCCGTGCCGTCTACGCTAAAGTCAACTGTAGTTCTTTGTATTGAACAGCTAAAGATAGTTTACTTGCTAGCTTTGTCCGTGTATCTAGCCAGTTCTTTCCTTCACCTGTTTCAACCTTTCTGAAAACTCCATCCATACAGACAGACTCTCTCTCGCTCTCCCCTTTATACATCAAGACTGAAGGCTACATTTAATTTGTGGCAGTGGCGCCTGTGGTGAAACTTACCGACACGTTCACTGTCTGTTTCCTTCTCAATTTCTTTGGATCAATCTTCGCCACCACAACATCTGGACAGAGAGACGCTTCTAATCTGAATGAGAAAGGCAGTGTTGTTTTTACTTACATGAATGCGTGTTTCCTGATCATATGCGTGAAAAATATCAAAAGACAGAGCTATGAGGGACTTACTGAACCTGCCTCAGATATTCCTGGGGATTTCTTGGAGGCTCGTTCATATTTAAGTCTTCCCCAGTGTCAGTGCCGCATGTTTCCACAGGCAGAAGCCTGGGCATCAGTTCCTCCACGTCAGATTTCATGCTGATGCTGCAAACTATATGCTCAGTGTCAGACTGATTTAATGTTAGATTAACATGCAACCAATGACCGTAGCATTTACTATTGTACTTATTAAAATATCACATTATAAAGGTTGTTTTGTTGGATAACGACACAAGTCTCACGTCAAAACAAACTTTGGCGCCATCTTGTTCGACGTGCGAATCAATCATGACACGTATAGAATGCGCCCGTTGTCATGGCGATTTAAAGAAAACGCTGCACGTATTTTGCGTTCCAAATTCCACAGTTCATAGTCTAAAATATAATTTTCCACATATTTTTTTTAAACAAAATCTACTACGCCATAATGACTGTACAAATAGTTCAAATCACTTAAAGGGAGATAATTATCTAATCATTGGTTGTTTGTGTTTCTTATTGATCAGCTCTTGATAAATTAAATTGGTATCTTGTTGCAAGTGCACCAAGTTAATCATTACCCCTCAGTTACATTGTATCTTGAATCCCTCATTTAGCTATTGAAACGTCCATACTTGTTGAGATGTGACAGCAACAGCTTGAAGGCAATGTCCATTTGACACTATGGAATTCAATGCAACCTGACTGTTCACCTCAAGCACTGTTTTAGTCAGGTTTTAGTATATGGACCATTTTACATGACTGGACTTTCCAACATCAATATGGCTATTTCAATGATATACCTTTGGACATTTACTATTTACATTTTTCCAACTCTAACTTGGGGATTGTTGTCTGACTTCAAAATGTGTGGAGACTCCGAGTGTGAAAGTAAGTACACAACAAGAGAAAAAAGAAATATGCAGCACATATAACAAATTCGTTTTTTCTATCCTATCCTGTAAAGTAAAAATTCCTATGATTACCTTATGTGACTTTTCATAGGCTTGCTGAGTCGGGTCAGGGCCAGAAATATACAATAATGTTTGTACCCTATACTGTATTTCAGATTGACAGACGATTTGGGTATTTCCCAAAATATGCTGTGAAAGTTGATGAAATTTATGCAAACACAGAGAAAGAAGTAGCCACACAGGTAATCTTTACACAGCAGTACTCTATGCATTTTAGTTTTGGGAATGTATATGTGTACTGAATGTATATGTGCATTAAAGGGTGAATAATCGGTGCTGTAAAACTTGCTGTTAAAGACATTATGTTAAAGCTATTATTCTGTTCCTTTCAGAAACATGACTTCTTCTGCATTGATGTTTATGGCATATTAATTGATAATGACTCCAGTGAGTGGGACAATGAAGATTATATAGTTTCAGAATTTCAAGAGATCGCCACCAATAATGCTCAAAAATCTAAAACTTCCAAAGATGCCTTTGTGTCCAAACATTGAAAACAGGAAACAGGAAACTGATGAAACAGGAAACAAAGATGCCAATCAGGCCGGAATGGAAGACTTCTCAGAGGATACCAAACCTGCACCTAGCAAACAAGGTGGGTCTCAGTGGATTGACTACAGTAACTGGATGCCTTGGTTTAGGTGGTGAAAGCCCTGATGATCCCAAAGAAGACAACCCAGAACAGTCTTTCAGGAGCAGGAAACTTGCTTTGGACATTGATGGGAACCAATTGGAGGAAGAGACGGAACAGACTGAAAAGTCTGTCTGGTTTGGAGATGGACTGACTAGTGTCTTCAGTTTTGGTGAAAAAGCTCCAGAGGAGAGGAGAAGCCCATTGAAAAGGAAGTGGAAGAGCAACCCCCACCTTCTAACTACTGGTTGAATATTGGCATTAGAGATGTCTTAAATTTTGGTCAGTCTAATCAGAATAAAGTTGAAGAGAGAGTACCAGCAGCAGGCAGAGAGGAAAACATCGATCCAGAAGAAATGACAGGTACAACAGACCCACATGACCTTGACTTAAGTCAGTCTCATCATGATGCTACAGTGGAGCAAATAAAAGAAACAGAGCACCACAGAGATGATGACACTGGTAAGGAGACAGAGAGAACAGACACACACCCCTCAAAACCTGTTGGGGATTATGACGACGGTCAAGAGGACCATCAGGAAGAAATCACCAAATATGGCGAATTTAGAAAAGAGGAAGATGCAGGGTGGTATGGCAGCATCTATAATAATATTGCAGGCCTTTATGGGGAACAGGATAATGAGGAGGAGGAGGAGGATACAGTTATAGACAAGGATAAAGAGTCTAAAGATATCAGCCTTCAGTCAGAAACAGAGTCTCAGCCTGTGTTCTCGTCCATGTTTGACACTCTGGCATCACTGTTTCAGGCAGATACCGATGATAAAAATGCTCCAAGTGATGAGGTAACAGATATAAAACCGGCAGACGCAGATGCCAATAGAGAGATCTCCCCTACTCCTCAGACGGCTATCCCATATGATTCTTCTGAGGTATCTGTAGGGAGGAAGGATGATAATGATGGTAATGACAGCAATGAGGCTCCACATCCCCCTCGATTAGATCTAGGTAAGGTTCAGAGTGCTAATGAAATACAGGAGGCATTCAAACAGCTACTTGACACTAGCAAGAATATTTCATTGTCCCACGACCCTCAATTACAGAACACAACTGGAATACTGAATCTTGAAGTTGATCCTGAAAAAGCTATTGCTGAGATCAATGAAAATGATGAGCATAACTCTGCAGGTAGATTAGAGTTAGATGATGTCACCACCACTAATGAACTTTTCAGTTCCCATGGAGATGTAGAGCCAAACCAATTAGTGTCGGACAATGAGGACATGCAAAAATCAACTGTGCTCCTCAATGGGCTTTTGCATTCATGTGATGAAGATGCCTCTAATCACCATCAAGAGAGTCCTGCTGCTGACGTCTCTGAAAATAGCCTGGATGATGTTGAGACTGATCATTCAGTTGGTCGGGACGCTTTAGAAGGCTCAGGGATTCCAAATCTATCTGATTTGACTCTTATTCAGACAAAAGCAGAAATACTGACAGAGGAGCTACCTGATGTATCGGAGGACATGTCTGTAATGCATGCTAAGGTGGAGGACATTGACAGTACAGGTATTGAAGTGGTCTCATCCAATCAGACAGGAGAGGACAGTATTCTAGTGTCTCAGAGCCAGGCAGAAGAGGACAGTGATAATCAGACAAACCCGCCAGCAACTGATGATGCTTCAGTCCTGGGGACGATCACACAGACACCTGACCCCTATCTGCATGATGCTCAGGAGGCTGAAATAGCTGAACCTATCCTGAATCTATCCCTAGCTGAACCTGTCACTGAAAATGTCTCAGGAGAGGAAGGACATAATTTGATTACCTCATGTGAGGAGGGGGAAAGTAAGGATAAGAATGAGAATACATTCGAGGCACCAGATAAGAATGTTCATGTTGAAGATATCGACAAAGATTCCGTTTCGCTGAAAGACTCGTTCTCTTCTAACTATGAGGGAAGTAATTCCAATGTAATGGAAGTTGTTGATCAAGAGGAATTTCTTTCCTCTGATCATTCCAAGGATTGGCACATTGAGGCCGATCCCATAGATAAAGTAGGGTTGATAAACATTACCTATGACCCAGTGTTAGACTCAACTATACTAAATGATGACACTACAAGTAACAAACTTTTATCTGATAAAGCCAATGATGATGGGGAAAGTAATATAGTGGGCAAAGCATCTGAGATAGGTTCAAATATTGAAGTTACTGAGACAGAGTGGATAGAACCAGGGAAAATAGTTGAAGTTGAGCAAGACAATGGGGGGTCAAGCTACTCTCCCTACACATGTCTTTGAGAATGATGAAACACAGAGCCGTTCCAGACATGATGCTAAAATCAAAAGTTATCCTGACAGCTCAGAGCTAGTTCCCCCTGAGACAGTAACAGGAAGTGAACAAAGACATACAGCAATCCTTGAGGAGGCAGATACAGAAAACTTGTCAGTGGAAGATTTCATTCATGAACAAGGGGAGTCCAATGAATCTAAAAAAGACAGTGACGAGGAAAACGTCCTGAAGGATAGATCCAGGATGATGCATGACCAGACGACAGCAATTGAGGACAATAATCTGCCACTAGAAGACAGGAATCAGATGGATGACAGTAATCACATCTCATCAGTCAGTAGCCAGGAAATACTTGACTTGGACCTCCATGAACCAGAACCACAGTCTCAGTCACCTTCAATAGAGGACTCTCACAGAGCTACAACATTTCTGAAAGAATACAAGAATATTGAAAAGCACCTAAGTGCAGATGAGATAACTACTTTGTTGGATTTGTTTGGGAAGCACAAACTCCTGTGGCTTGACTACAGCCTAGGACGCTCACAGACTTTGAATTAGGGCCAAGATGGTGATAATGACCTTGCTATAATGTCAGACTTTGAGAGGCTCCTGCAGTATCACATGGATGAGACAAAAGCTCCATCTGGTGGATTTCTGGAGGATGAAGATAAATCCACAAAACGCATGTCACTACAAAAACTAGAAATACTCTTGTCAAACATTTAAAAAAGATTCCTACCATTGAAAGCAACTGTCAGTATGAAAGACAATCAAGGTACTACTAAAGTAGTATGAGAAACGTTTATTGATTTTGTTCGCATGTCTCTTGCATGTCAATATAGGAAAGGTTAGCATATTTTGTCAAAGTTTTTGCATTTGGTCATTGTTAGAAGTGTGCTAAATCTGACCACCATTTATTGACAATGTCTTCATGTTTTAAGAATGATATGGTGTCATAATACAATATGTTCTCCTGCAGATACAGACAAGACAATCTGCGTCAATGACGATTGTTTTACTCGCAAGGAAAACAAAGACCTAACCAACCTGAAAGGAGAAGATATCTCTACTGAGGTGGGCCATTCAGACTGGCAGATGGATGGGCAAACCAGGGAGGGAGTTAAAGATAAGCCTGCAGTGGTGGAATATCTTTTGACTTCTGCATGTCAAGTCACTGGTGATATTATTGCTCATATGCAGACAGTTAAGGCGCTTCTGAAATGGCTCACTGTACAGGTAAGAATGTTTACATGACTGTTTTTAAGTATACCCCTTTGTCATCTATTGAGATGTAATGAGACCACATTTAAAAGGATTGGACTGCACTGTGGATGTGTCAATATGAATGCCCCCTCTTCATCATCAATAGAATAGACTAGCTTAATTCTTCCAAGAGGGAACTTTGGTTGTGGCATTTGAATTTGACATAACAGCACAATACACACAATACACTATTAATTGACCTGATAGCTGAAGAAGCTGGTCCTTTAAAACCTCTGGTATGTTTCTCTGGTATGCAACATGTCATCTGTCACTGTCATCACCCAACACTTTGAGGAGTTGGCTTTGGTGACTAAGCTATTCACTGCACTGTGGTAGTGCAATAACATGAGCATTTTATATTGAGAATAGAGATGGAGGTTCAGGATGTTGACCAGGTGAGTGAGAAGTAGTGTTTTGGACATGCACTGAAAAGTTAGCTGAAAGGTGAACACCCAACCAACAACAACTTCTGGGCCTACTCTGATAGGGCAGGGCAGGTGACAGCAGAGGGACTTTGGTGACAATTAGTCTCAGCTGGAGGGAAAGGTAACTTATTCCATGTTTATAGATTATTTGAGAATAGGTATAGAGGTTGGATATGTGTTGTTTTCAAAACATTTTGTAGGGTACCACAATTTGCATTTGTTTCATTCAGGTTTCATCAGTTTGAGTGTCACCAAAGATTGCCTATTATATTGACCTGCTCTAACAATGGAAATACATGTCCTCAAAGATGGAAGGCAGGTCGGAAGGAGAGATCAGGTGGGACCATTTTAGCCAATGATAGGGCAGATATGCATGTGAACAACAGGCCACAGAGATAGGTAGAGGACTCATCTTTGTATCTGTGACATTATAGCATCTGTGACAGCATGGGCAGCGCCATTGAGGCTATCTCCATTTTAAAAGTATTCCAATTTTCTTCTTCTTCATTGGCTGATTGCTCCCAATTCATAGGAATCCCCATCCAGTTGACTACTTTAAAATGGTGGAACCCTCAATGGCAGTGTCCATGCTAAAAAGGGTTATGTCCATGCTAAAACAGGTTATATCCATGATAAGCACCTGCAATAACATCTGCAAAATGTGTACCAGACCAATAACATGTTATTTGATGAGTCCTCTATCTATCTCTATTACAACAGGGACAACCCCGATATAAAGTCGTTTTTTTTTTTTCAAAGATGCCAAAATGCCAGGTGCCTCCACTTATATCAGTGCATTTGTAACAAACTAACCACGAAGCCTCACATAGCAAATTAGCAATTACATTTTTTGTTGACCAAATTAGACACTCTCTCATTGACCTCCATACAAAAATTCTTACACTTCGTGCATTATTTTCGTGGACAGATTTTGGGCTGAGTAACACCTCTTGTTTCGCCTCTTCCTCTCTGGTGTCACTTTAAATGCGCCCCGGTGTGGCGTTCCCAGTGTGTGCTATTAAGAATCCTTGGGACGTCCATAGACTAAATACTAACCCTAACCTTAACCTCTACTCTAACCCTAACAATTTAAAATGTCAACGTCATGGGGTAGGGGCGTCCAAAGGATCCCACATAGCATGGATAGTTCAACAATTGGTGACGTTGAGAATATACCAACTCAACATTAAAGCAGGAAGTGGGGGCGTTGTAACGTTTACCAATACTCATTTTGAGTGAAAAGTCAAATAAGATAAGATTGTGTAGGATTAGAATTATATAAATCAACCAATATTTGTTTTAGGAAAATATAAACGAAAGTGAGTCGTTTTAGAGAGTTCTGGGTGCATAAAATAGCATCAACCTCCGTACGTTTGAGCGTCATGACGTGTCCCAACTCTCCAGCTTCATGTTGCCACCGATACTTCAAAGTGACAGCTGGGCATTCGTTTTTTTCAATGTTAACCTAATCCTGGAAATAATATTTCAATGAAATATTCGACAAATGGAAGATCAATCAAGTGGTGAGGCAGTTGCTACCCAAGTGGCTGATTATAAAATGACAGCAAGGACCTATTACACTCTAGCCGTGGAGAAAGTGAGAGATGTGAGTGTCAAATCAAATTAGCATGCTAGCCAGTTAGCTAGCTTGGACTCGTCAATGCTAAAAACATCAACTGGTGTATCTAGCTAGCCAATTTTGTAATTTGTGTTAATTCAATTTCAATGTGTAGGACTGTCAGATATGGCTTATCTATATTGTTTAGTTAACTAGCTAGCTAGTGTCTCGTTGACCACGAGAACACTGTTTCCTGGTAAGATAACGTAACTAAGCTAATGTTAGCTAATTTAGTCAGCTAACTAACGTAAGCAACAGTTGTATCCTAATTTAAGGGTGTTTTCACACTTCTTGGTCCTTTTAAGCCAATTTTTGTGAACTCCGTGCGGTTCGCTTAATTCAGACTCAGACCCCTCAAAAGAGCCCCAGAAGCGAACCGAACTGAACTGAGACCATATCGAGAGGTGGTCTGAGTTCGGTTCGCTTGAATTCAGAGGTACGGTTCCCTTTTTAGGGCAATGTGAACGCAAAACTCCCCAGGTTCGCTAGTAATTATTCACGCAACACTGTTCCTCCTGCCATAAACCCTCACATTGGTGCCACAAAAGAGAGAAGATGATGATGTGCAGATTCGCGGAAAAAAAGCGTGCTGCAATTATATATTGATTAGCGATTGTCAAGGATGCGCAGAAATGTGTGTGGTGCGGGAATAATGACAAGCGAACCTGGAGAGCTTTGTGTTCACATTGCCCTAAAAAAAGTGAACCGGTACGCGGAATTCTAGCAAACCGAACTCGGAACAAAAAAATAAGCGATCTGCACTGAGTTCACAAAGTGTGAAAACACCCTAAGTAGCTACATAGCTGGCTAGTTAGTTTGAAGTTTTAATGTCACATGCACAAGTACAGTGAAATGCCTTTCTTGCAAACTCACCACAACAATGCAATAATCAATAACAATGTAATACAAAAAAAAAAAAGAGGTATGACGAACACAATAAGTAAGTTAGCATACTATATACAGGGTCAGTTCCAATACCATATTTCCAATGTGCAGGGATACTGGAGTGATGGAGGTAGATATGTATACGGGTAAGGTGACTAGGCATCAGGATATAAGATAAACAGAGTAGCAGCAGCTTGTATGTGAGTGTGTGTGTGTGTGTGTGTGTGTGTGTGTGTACAGTCAGTATAAGTGTATGTGCATATTATGTGTGCGTGAGCAGATGATCGTGTGAGTGTGTGGGCCCTGTGAGTGTGCATAGACAGTGCAAAAATAAAAAGGTCAGTGAGGATACAAGGTTAACTCAGATACTCTGTGTAGCTATTTTGTTAGCTATTTATCAGTCTTATTGCTTGAGGACAGAAGCTGCTCAAGAGCCTGTTGGTGCCAGACTTGATGCACCGGTACCGCTTGCTGTGCGGAAGCAGAGATAATAGTCTATGGCTTGGGTGGTTGGAGTCTTTAACGATGTCCTGGATGGCAGGGAGCTCGGCCCCAGTGATGTACTGGGCTGTCCGCACCACCCTCTGTGCGCCATGCGATCGAGGGCAGTGCTATTGCCATACCAGGTAGTGATGCAGCCAGTCAAAATGCTCTCAATGGTACAGCTGTATAACTTTTTGAGGGCCCATGCCAAACCTTTTCAATCTCCTGAGAGGGAGAATGCGCGCGTGTGTTTGGACCATTTTAAGTCTTTAGTGATTTGGACACCAAGGAACTTGAAGCTCTTGACCCGCTCCACTGCGGCCCCGTCGATGTGGATGGGGGCGTGCTCGCTCCTCCTGTTTCCTGTAGTCCACGATCGGCTCCTTGGTCTTACTGGGGTTGAGGGATAGGTTGTTGTTCTGGCACTACACTGCCAGGTCCCTGACCTCCTCCCTGTAGGCTGACTCATCATCACCGGTGGTCAGGCCTACCACCGTCGTGTTGTCAGCAAACTTGATGATTGTGTTGGAGTCGTACGTGGCCACGCAGTCGTGGTTGAACAGGGAGTACAGGAGGGGACTAAGCACACCTCTGTGGGGCCCCTATGTTGAGGGTCAGTGTGGCGGAGGTGATGTTGCCTACCCTCACCACCTGTGTTTGGATCACAAAGAAGAACATTTGTGAGACTCAGACCAAATGAAAATATGCTGGAGGAGTGTTTGATGCCATCTGTCAAGCATGGTGGAGGCAATGTGATGGTATGGGGGTGCTTTGGTGTTGGTAAAGTGGGAGATTCGTACAGAGTGAAAGGGATCATGAAGAAGGAAGGCTATCACTCCATTTTGCAACGCCATGCCATACCCTGTGGACGGCTCTTGATTGGAGCCAATTTCCTCCTACAACAGGAAAATGACCCAACGCACAGCTCCAAACTATGCAATAACTATTTAGGGAAGAAGCAGTCAGCTGTATTCTGTCTATAATGGAGTGGCCAGCACAGTCACCGGACCTCAACCCTATTGAGCTGTTGTGGGAGTAGCTTGACCGTATGGTACGTAAGAAGTGCCATCAAGCCAATCAAACTTGTGGGAGGTGCTTCAGGAAGCATGGGGTGAAATCTCTTCAGATTACATCAACAAATTGACAACTAGAATGCCAAAGGTCTGCAAGGCTGTAATTGCTGCAAATGGAGGATTCTTTGACGAAAGTAAAGTTTGAAGGACACAATTATTATTTCTATTAAAAATCATTATTTCTAACCTTGTCAATGACTACATTTCCTATGCATTTTGCTATATTTCCTATTCAAACTCATGTATGTTTTCATGGAAAACAAGGACATATCTAAGTGATCCCAAACTTTTGAATGGAAGTGTAAGTATTTTATTTTCTACCCAGGTCGTGTCGTCCCTTCCTGATGACGTAAGGCCAGGTCCTGACCTGTATGGACTGCCATGGGAAGCTGTCATCGTCACTGCCTTACTGGGGTTAGGCACCCTCCTATTGTTCAGCTGCAGGTTCTACCAATGTGTAAGTTGACTGTCTGATATTATACCAGCATGCAAGTATAGGGATGAACAACAGCATTCTTACTTTTGATTGGGGAGTGACCAAGCTCACTAAATTGTTCTTGTTTCCAGATAAAGAGCAGACTGTATTCAGGCAAAGAGAGGCGGATGGGCCAGAAGGTGGCTGAACTATTAGATGAAAAGTGCAAAGTCCTTAAGACTTTGAGTGAGGTTCAACAAAAGGTGAGTCCTATGTCAAAGAATGCAGTGTGTGTGTATCTGACTGACTGACTGCCTTCTGAAATTACATGTTTTTTAATGAACCTGTGTGCTATGAATGCCTTTGCTACTGTTTGTTTATGTTTATTTATGTACCTTTTTAGTATGAAAAACTGGATTCTGCCTTGTGGAATAGTGGTATTTTGGCTCAAGCGTCAGAGAGAGAGAATCTGGAGGTAAGACACACAAATTATACAGTATGATTGTTCTCAATACTGAATAAACATTCCCATATTTCACCTCTAAATTACACTGGCAAATGGTATAAAAGGACTTTCAAGTCCGAGTAAACCTTTAATGGTCTCCTCTTCAGGTGATGTCCCAGAGGCTGAAACAGTCAAATGCACAGCTTGGAGAGGATATAGAAAAGTTAAAGGAGGACCTGAATATCCAGAGAGCGAGGAGGTTGCAGCAGGAGAAGACAGTGAGTTTGACTTCGGACTGGACATTTTTCTCATCACCTTTTGCTGTGTTTTGATGTTTATGCATTGACATCTTTTATTTTTTGTTTCACTCTTTGCTCTCATATTTCAGTTAATTCTTTTTGAGATGTGGTGTTTTGTGCAATTTTACAGATTGCAGATATGCAGGAAACCTTGAAAACCGTAGAAGAAGAAACCAGGGACCTCAAGTCCCAGACAGAGCAGGTAAAATCTGACGCTGACACAAGTCCCCATTAGTGTTATGTATCATGAACATCATGTTAATTGTAATTCCTTCCTGTTTGGCATGTTAATCATGTCGACACACTCAGAGCCAGGTTAGATGTAACACATTTTGCTCTCTTTTCAGGCACAGACAACCCTGAAAATATATGACATGAACAGTGAGAGGAATCAGAATAATCTGGAGGCAGCAAAAGAAGAGAAGGCCTTGCTCCAGGAGAAAAATTTGCAGGTATGTAACCTGACCTATAAGATGTCCATTTACAGCTATACAGTACCCACTAATCAGAGCCATTAATATCTACAGTGAGGGGAAAAAAGTATTTGATCCCCTGCTGATTTTGTACGTTTGACCACTGACAAAGACATGATCAGTCTATCATTTTAATGGTAGGTTTATTTGAACAGTGAGAGACAGAATAACAACAAAAAAATCCAGAAAAACGCATGTCAAAAATGTTATAAATTCATTTGCATTTTAATGAGGGAAATAAGTATTTGACCCCTCTGCAAAACATGACTTAGTACTTGGTGGCAAAACCCTTGTTGGCAATCACAGAGGTCAGACGTTTCTTGTAGTTGGCCACCAGGTTTGCACACATCTCAGGAGGGATTTTGTCCCACTCCTCTTTGCAGATCTTCTCCAAGTCATTAAGGTTTCGAGGCTGACGTTTGGCAACTCGAACCTTCAGCTCCCTCCACATATTTTCTATGGGATTATGGTCTGGAGACTGGCTAGGCCACTCCAGGACCTTAATGTGCTTCTTCTTGAGCCACTCCTTTGTTGCCTTGGTCGTGTGTTTTGGGTCATTGTCATGCTGGACTACCCATACACGACCCATTTTCAATGCCTTGGCTGAGGGAAGGAGGTTCTCACCCAAGATTTGACGGTACATGGCCCCGTCCATCGTCCCTTTGATGCGGTGAAGTTGTCCTGTCCCCTTAGCAGAACCCCCCCCCCCCCCCCCCCCCCCCCAAAGCATAATGTTTCCACCTCCATGTTTGACAGTGGGGATGGTGTTCTTGGGGTCATAGGCAGCATTCCTCCTCCTCCAAACACGGCGAGTTGAGTTGATGCCAAAGAGCTCGATTTTGGTCTCATCTGACCACAACACTGTCACCCAATTCTCCTCTGAATCATTCAGATGTTCATTGGCAAACTTCAGACGGGCCTGTATATGTGCTTTCTTGAGCAGGGGGACCTTGCAGGCGCTGCAGGATTTCAGTCCTTCACGGCGTAGTGTGTTACCAATTGTTTTCTTGGTGACTATGGTCCCAGCTGCCTTGAGATCATTGACAAGATCCTCCCGTGTAGTTCTGGGCTGATTCCTCACCGTTCTCATGATCATTGCAACTCCATGAGGTGAGATCTTGCATGGAGCCCCAGGCCGAGGGAGATTGACAGTTCTTTTGTGTTTCTTCCATTTGCGAATAATCGCACCAACTGTTGTCACCTTCTCACCAAGCTGCTTGGCGATGGTCTTGTAGCCCATTCCTGCCTTGTGTAGGTCTACAATCTTGTCCCTGACATCCTTGGAGAGCTCTTTGGTCTTGTCCATGGTGGAGAGTTTGGAATCTGATTGATTGCTTCTATGGACAGGTGTCTTTTATACAGGTAACAAGCTGAGATTAGGAGCACTCCCTTTAAGAGTGTGCTCCTAATCTCAGCTCGTTACCTGTATAAAAGACACCTGGGAGCCAGAAATCTTTCTGATTGAGAGGGGGTCAAATACTTATTTCCCTCATTAAAATACAAAAATCAATTTATAACATTTTTGACATGCGTTTTTCTGGATTTTGTTGTTGTTATTCTGTCTCTCACTGTTCAAATAAACCTACCATTAAAAGTATAGACTGATCATTTCTTTGTCAGTGGGCAAACGTACAAAATCAGCAGGGGATGAAATACTTTTTTCCCTCACTGTATATGTATGGCTTTGTCACTAATATTGTTGTATACTCCAGTTCCATATCAGCCTTGGTTGCGGTTGTTACAAAGAACCTGCATGGGTTGTCCTGAAGAGAAAGCAGAAAGTGTCCTATATTCTGGTGGGATCCTCAACCTCTCCCCCTCTTCCCACAGCTGGTCCAGGAAGCAGAGGGCTGGGGGGAGCGGATGAGCGAACTGGAAGAGGAGATGAGGATGTGTGAGAGCTCCTATACTGGAATGGTGCAGGATGCTGCCACCAAAGACGAGAGTATCAAGGTTTGCATTCATATTACTGCACTGGCAAAAACCACATACAGCAAGATGTGTGCCTACAACAAACATTTTGCTATTCTGCCCTGTACTGGGAAAACCCAGTCACCACACACTTTGAAGATTACTGAGGGTTTCAACCAACAATTAGTTAGGTGACACCCTAAGTGGCCCAGCCTGTTTGAGGCTATGTTCATAATGGTAATCCTCTATTGCCTGTTATTTATTATAAATTACATACACCTTAGCCAAATACATTTAAACTCAGTTTTTCACAATTCCTGACATTTAATCCTAGTAAAAATTCCCAGTCTTAGGTCAGTTAGGATGACCACTTTATTTTAAGAATGTGAAATGTCAGAATAATAGTAGAGAATTATTTATTTCAGCTTTTATTTATTTCATTACATTCCCAGTGGGTCAGAAGTTTACATGCTATCCAAATACTAATTGAGTGTATTGCCTTTTAAATTGTTTAACTTGGGTCAAACGTTTCGCGTAGCCTTCCACAAGCTTCCCACAATAAGTTGGGTGAATTTTGTCCCATTCCTCCAGACAGAGCTGGTGTAACTGAGTCAGGTTTGTAGGCCTCCTTGCTCGCACACGCTTTTTCAGTTCTGCCCACAAATTTTCTATAGGATTGAGGTCAGGGCTTTGTGATGGCCACTCCAATACCTTGACTTTGTTGTCCTTAAGCCATTTTGCCACAGCTTTGGAAGTATGCTTGGGGTCATTGTCCATTTGGAAGACCCATTTGCGACCAAGCATTAACTTCCTGACTGATGTCTTGAGATATTGCTTCAATATATCCACATCATTTTCCTTCCTCATGATGCCATCTATTTTGTGAAGTGCACCAGTCCCTCCTGCAGCAAAGCAACCCCACAGCATGATGCTGCCACCCCCGTGCTTCACGTTTGGAATGGTGTTCTTCGGCTTGCAAGCAACCCCCGTTTTCCTCCAAACATAACAATGGTCATTATGGCCAAACAGTTCTATTTTTGTTTCATCAGACCAGAGGACATTTCTCCAAAAAGTACAATCTTTGTCCCCATGTGCAGTTGCAAACCGTAGTCTGGCTTTTTTAATGGCGGTTTTGGAGCAGTGGCTTCTTCCTTGCTGAGCGGCCTTTCAGGTTATGTCGATATAGGACTGGTTTTACTGTGGATATAGATACTTTTGTACCTGTTTCCTCCAGCATCTTCACAAGGTCCTTTGCTGTTGTTCTGGGAATGATTTGCACTTTTCGCACTAAGGTACGTTCATCTCTAGGAGACAGAACGAGTCTCCTTCCTGAGCAGTATGACGGCTGTGTGGTCCCGATGGTGTTTATACTTGCGTATTATTGTTTGTACAGATGAACGTGGTACCTTCAGGCGTTTGGAAATTGCTCCCAAGGATGAACCAGACTTGTGGAGGTCTACACATTTTATTCTGACGTCTTAGCTGATTTCTTTTGATTTTCCCATGATGTCAAGCAAAGAGGCACTGAGTTTGAAGGTAGGCCTTGCAATACATCCACAGGTACACCTCCAATTGACTCAAATGATGTCAATTAGCCTATCAGAAGCTTCTAAAGCCATGACATCATTTTCTGGAATTTTCCAAGTTGTTTAAAGGCACAGTCAACTTAGTGTATGTAAACTTCTGACCCACTGGAATTGTGATACAGTGAATTATAAATCAAATAATCTGTAAACAATTGTTGAAAAAATTACTTGTGTCATGCACAAAATAGATGTCCTAACCGACTTGCCAAAACTATAGTTTGTTAACAAGAAATTTGTGGAGTGGTTGAAAAACGAGTTTTAATGACTCCAACCTAAGTGTATGTAAACTTCCGACTTCAACTGTATGTACCACTCAACAAAATAAGTTTCCTTGGGGGAAAAACTATAGTTATTTGAATGGTAAAGCCTTTTCTCTCTTTCTCCATTAGTCCCTGACAGACTGCCTGTTGAAGATAAAGGACTGGGACTCAGTGCTGGAGGACGGAGCCAACGGAGAGGAGATAAACAGGACACGAGGGGAGGAAAATGGAGAGGGGCCAGGTGAGGTTCTGGTAGATAAGGCTATAACCGCCAGTATGTATGAAGTATGATCAACTGGCTTTCGCTCACCATCTCTTGGTATTATTATGCAAGGTCATATATGGGATTTAAAAAAACATTTGAGTCAGGATATTGACTGAGTGGGAGTGGGATATCTGCGTCTTCCCAGATGTTACTTTTTTGTTAATTCTTTATACACAGATAACCATCAACGACACAGAATACAGAAACTAATTCATGCGGCAAAGGTATGTCTTCACTTAAATCAAATTCTGTCTTAAGAACAAAACTTGTCAGCGATAGATGGAAAATGTTAGTTTTTTTTTCTTTTTAGATGAATGCAGACTTGAAGTCGGTGGATGAAGACAAGGACAGAGTGTTTGCCAAGCTAGCGGATGAAGTCAAGGCCAAGGAGGATCTCCAAGGTAAGCGGAGTATGATGCTGTTCAGTAGTAACTTATCACGGTGGAGAATAAAACAACATTCATTTTATAATGTACATAAATGTATTGAAATGAGCTTCAGTTGCTGTTTTCATGATACAACAGACACAAAGGGTTGGTTTCCCAGACGCATATTAAGCCTTGTACTCCTGGACTAAAAAGGACATGCGTCGGTGTCCAGGAAACCGGCCTAAACCTCTGACTTTTAATGAAAATCATGTCTAGTTTTTAACACCAGCTTGACTCTTGGGTTGCAGAGCGGATTAAGAAACTGGAGAATGAGAAGGACTCTCTGCAGACAGAGAGTGAGAAGTACACGGGCCAGGTGCAGAAACTCCAGCAGAAACTGCAGATCATGACGGAGATGTACCAGGAGAATGAACTCAAACTACACAGGTACTGTACGAGACTTAGAGTGGCTGACCCAAATGCACAGCTTCATCCATGAAGGATTTATATGCATTTATAATGGCTTATTTATGAAAGTTATTATGAAGTGTAACCAAACTATCTTCAATGAGTGGGGCTAATGAACTGCTGTATGCCTGGTAATATAATAATATATGCCATTTAGCAGACACTTTTATCCAAAGCGACTTACAGTCATGCGTGCATGCCGTTTTACGTATGGGTGGCCCCAATGGGAATCGAACCCACGACCTGTGGCGTTGCAAGCGCCATGCTCTACCGACTGAGCTGCACAGGGCCTAGTAATGTTTGTCTGATCATGGCTGTTCCACTCTGTGGTATGCATATAATGGGTGTTCTCCCTGGTGTCAGGTTGCTGACGGTGGAGGAGAGGGAGCGTCAGCAGAAGGAGGCGAAGCTGACCAAGGCTGACAGGAGCATCAGCCTGGCCGTGGAGGAGCTCAGCAGCTACAGGTCGGCTACTGGACACACACACACACACACACACCATCCCTGACTCCAGATATCAACTGTCTCTTGTTTACAGTGTTTTAATACAGGCCTTAAATTAAATGTATACTTTCAGTACACTTGCTGTCAATCGAATAGATGCAATTCATTTTGTGAAACATGAAGAGTTGCACATGTCCAAAATATTCGCAGGGTGTTTTGTATTGTGAGTCAGGGTGCTGTTTTGCTTTCACACAAAGGCAAAGAGCACAAGACCTCGAGGATGAGCTGGAGAAGACCAACCAGGCCTACAAAATCCAGGTGGGAGATCTGACAGTCTGTCGTAAGAGACTGGAAGAGGGGGGAAAACATTCACCACATGCAATTATCTGATGTATAGCCAATGACAAATGTCATTCTCCCTCCATCTTTCAGATAACTTCCCAGGAAAAGAAGGCACACAATAACTGGGTAAGTATGTAGTAGTAACATACATACACTATGGAGCACACCTCAGCTCATAGTCATGTTAAAGAGCAATTGAACGAATCTCTGGTTGAAAACAGCCTATGTGGAATCGATATTAGAAACGTTTATTCCGGTGCCAAAATTGACTAAAGTGTAAGTACGATCATTTTGGTTATAAAGTCAGTATATTCCAAAACTGAGTTTTGTGAGATTTGTGTAACTGAGGTCGCCACAATTTACGTAAGGGCTGGGTTTGGATTACAACCATGCCCACTAACACGAGATGGTAACGCCAAAGGAGGTTGTCATGCATGGATAAACATCTGCGCTGATTGCGCTCTATCCAATCGCAGAACCTCCAGACAGTGAGACAGACCTGCCAATTACGCAGCGCATGTTTACATAAGACAACATGTCGCCAATGTTATGTTGAAAGAACGCTTGGCCCCTAAGCTCTTTATGGAGTGGCCACTTGCTGATGTGTTTGATAGTGATCACTCAAGTCTGCCACTGTTTTGGGCAAAATGAGAACTAAGACGATGCACACTTGTATCCCAACTGCCACTTGTCAATATTCCGAAATTCGAAACCCATTCGTGAGCATCTTGTGACCCGCCGTGACCTGTTTTGTAACATAATTTGCTATGAAACACTGCCAGACAGACGCAAACTCTGGTAATAGATTGTAAAAAAAATAAAACGGCACTGAAGCACACACGTCGCCACTCGCCAGTGACTTGATAAGCTGACAGCTTGCTGATGAAGTTGTAGAAATGTTCTCAGAAATCAGTCCTGAGTGCAGCCAGCAGCAGCTGACTCGGTACTCATACTGTCTGCAGTGCACTGACTAGTTAAAAAAATAATTGAGAAATACTGCACCAAACACCAGCCCTCCTGTAGCTCAGTTGGTAGAGCATGGCGCTTGCAACGCCAGGGTTGTGGGTTAGTTTCCCACGGGGGGCCAGTATGAAAAATGTATGCACTCACTAAACTGTAAGTCGCTCTGGATAAGAGCATCTGCTAAATGACTAAAATGTAGATGTAAAATTGTGCAATCAATTCAGACTATTTTGAGGAAGTGATAGTGGCTATGTTGTTGCCACGGTGTCTCAAGAGGGACAAACAACAGTAACTGCCAGGGTACGATATACAAACATAACACACCCACATCGAACCACACCCCCAAGACCCACATCTCATTTTTCTTAATGAGCAGCAGAAAGACACATGCGGAATCGGTGCTTAAATGTGATTTCCTCAGCCTGGCGACTCATCTGTAATCTCTGTTGTCTGCATTGTAGCTAGCAGCACGAGCTGCCGACCGTGACCTGGCTGACATTAAAAGAGAGAATGCACACCTCAGGCAGAAGTAAGTACTAAAGAATACTTTTCTATTGAAGTGCAGTCAGTTTCACCAGACTTGATGGGATGTGTTGGTACAAAATAGTATTTCCCTGCAGTGTGGAAAGTATTCTTCAGCTGTGGTGTGTCTCCATGCAGATTGACTGATACTCAGTTCAAGCTGGATGTGGTGGAGAAAGGCCCCTATGCTCTGGACAACATGGGCAGACCGTTCAGAGGTGAGTCTATAATAACCCTCCTATCACCCTAACTATAATGATATCCTCTGCTGACTCCCAACTCGCCCCCTAGCCCCTACTCCCTACATTGAGAGGATTGGATAGGTGAAAGCAATATGGTGACAATCCGAAAGGCAAGATGAAGTTATTAACAGAACTACTTACATTATATCCATGCAATCCTCTCAGGTCTACAGGAGTGCCTATCGTGTACTAGGGACTAGGTGTTGAATAGGTCATTATTCTGATATTTGAACTTTCTGTCTCTCCCTGTCCTGCAGGTGAAAGGTCACCGTATGGCCCCTCCCCCCTGGGTCGCCCCGCCTCTGAGAACAGAGCCTTCCTGTCTCCGCCCACCCTGATGGATGGCCCGCCACACCTCTCTCCAAACTTCCCTCCCATGGGACCGGGAGGCAGAGGTGACTTCTCCAGTACAAACCCCCTCCTCAGTGAATGTGCCATGACATGGTGAAAATGCCATTAAGAAAAATAATCAGCAGGATAAATGGATTATTATTTAACCTACTGTCAATTAATTCACTTTAGATTATTATTGAATCTCCTGTCAATTAAGTTATTGAGTAAAGCAATGCTGAAATCTGTTCTTAATCACCTGATACAAGTACATGCTAAATCTTAATTTACTGGAAGGTAGGCACATCTGTTACAGAGCTTATCTTTATAGTATAAATTGCCTTGGCGGCGAGCATGCACAGCAAGATGGGGAATGATGTGCAGCTGTATCGCCTACAGAGGGAGCATTGTCTTTGCGCATGATGTATTCTGGTCTTGTCATCCTAGCTTCATGAACTCATTGACATTATGCTGGCTCTTTCTCTCTCTCTCTCTCACTCTCACTCTCACACTCATATATAACCAGTATCCCGAGGCCTGGTAGATCCCCCTGGTGGGGTGGACTCTGATCGGAGTGGTGGTCCTCACTCTGACAGTGGCTCGATATCTCCCTCCTGGGAAAGGGATCGCAGGGACCCACCTATACCCCCTCCAGGTACGGTGATGACCACCTGCTATCGCCCCCCCCCCCCCCCCCCCCAATGATCTCAGCAGCCCCTCCAATCACTACAGACAGAAGTTATTCTATTCTTCTGTTTTAATCTTCTAGTCTACTATATTGTGTTATTGTGTGTGACAAATACTTATTTGCATTCAGTATCAGTCCTAAAGAGTGTGTGTTCGTTATTTATTTGCTTCATTATGTTTTACCATCTTTTGCTATGTAAAGATGTCCTGACTTTCTTTTGGGTTGTAGAGAAATATAATTAGTTATAGGGTGAGAATGTTATATTTGTTAATCAACTGTCAGAGATTTGTTCACAACTAAATAATTCCCCTCAGTTGGTTACTATTGTGGTACTCTGTTGTGGTCAGCCGGCCCTGTGAGAGGTTTGAGATTCTCTTTATTGGTTCAAATCACTGTTGTCAGTCTGAGGTGCAGACCTAGTTGTGGTCAGTGAGTGTATGACTACTACACTATATATACAGAAGTATGTGGACACCCCTTCAAATGAATGGATTCAGCTATTTCAGCCACACCCGTTGTTGACAGGTGTATAAAATTGAGCACACAGCCATGCCATCTCCATAGACAAACATTGGCAGTAGAATGGCCTTACTGAAGAGCTCAGTGACTTTCAACATGGCACCGTCATAGGATGCCACCTTTCCAACAAGTCAGTTTGTCAAATTTCTGTCCTGCTAGAGCTGCCCCGGTCAACTGTAAGCGCTGTTATTGTGAAGTGGAAACGTCTAGGAGCAACAACGGCTCAGCCGCGAAGTGGTAGGCCACACAAGCTCACAAAACGGTACCGGCGAGTGCTAAAGCGCACAGCGTGTAAAAATCATATGTCCTCGGTTGCAACACTCACTACCGACTTCCAAACTGCCTCTGGAAGCAACGTCAGCACAATAACTGTTCGTCGGGAGCTTTTTTTTTTTTTTACAACGCTACCTGCCCGAATGCATAGTGCCAACTGTAAAGATGAGGAATAATGGTCTGGGACTGTTTTTCATGGTTCGGGCTCGGCCCCTTCCAGTGAAGCGAAATCTTAACGCTACAGCATACAATGACATTCTAGACGATTCTGTGCTTCCAACTTTGTGGCAACAGTTTGGGGAAGGTCCTTTCCTGTTTTAGCATGACAATGCCCCCGTGCACAAAGCGAGATCCATACAGAAATGGTTTGTTGAGATCGGTGTGGAAGAACTTGACTGGCCTGCACAGAGCCCTGACCTCAACCCTATCGAACACCTTTGGGATGAATTGGAACGCCGACTGCGGGCCTAATCGCCCAATGTCAGTGCCCGACCTCACTAATGCTCTTGTGGCTGAATGGAAGCAAGTCCCCGCAGCAATGTTCCAACATATAGTGGAAAGCCTTCCCAGAAGAGTGGAGGCTGTTATAGCTGCAAAGGGGGGACCAACTCTATATTAATGCCCATGGTTTTGGAATGAGATGTTCGATGAGGAGGTGTCCACATACTTTTGGTCATGTAGTGTATGTGGTCAGCTGTAGTGGTTCCAGCCTCACCTCTGAGTCACGCAGCAGGGCCACACAGACTGCAGGCCGCTGCATTGAGGAGTCAGACCCTGAGTCGCCACTGGTTTGTTCCAGAGTTTTCTCCACACTCACTTTGGCCTTGTTCCCCTGGGCCCCTGCTGCTTCCCAACTCTGGCCTCCGCCTGGTTTAAGATGTTTAAAATTCACTGGAACTAGGAACCTTTTAACCATTTAGTTCAGTTATCATGGGGGAGCGATTTAGCATGTGGCATCACTGTATTTTGATTAGTCAACGACAATTCCATCATACCCATTCTACTACTGTCACTGTTTTGTTGTGTACTAACTAAATGCATCATGATTTAAATGTATGTTTGTTCTTTTTTTGTTTCGTGATCTGCAAAGAGGCTTCTATTTTTTGCTCCAGTCCCCTTTGGACAGCAGAGTGGTTGTTTTGATTTGGACATTTCTGTTCTCATCCCCCACTGTGTGATCCCCATCCTTAGCGCAGCTGGTCTGAATAAGGCTGATGAAACAGTGCTCTCTCTCTCTGCTCATAAAGGGTATATGTATCGAGACCCAGGTCTTCTCTACAGGAGACCCCTGCCCGGAGCGTTTCCCCTTGGGCCTATGGGCCCCCTCCCATCCAGGGGCCCCGGTCCTGCTGAGCCCCACAGCTTTGGGCCCCACCCTGGAGATCAATCTGGTGAGAACCCTCCTTTTTTACCGTTGTTCTTTCTGTATTACAGCACCATATAATTAGTTTTAAAAAAGTGATTGATACTGTATCTCTGCACCATAGCCACTCTGTCATATAAACTTCAAAAGGATGTTTAGTGCTTGGGAGTATGTAACTGAAGTGATGAAATACATTTCAGGACGTGACTCAGACCAAGCTCCTTCATCAGCAGCACACTGAATAGTAGGAGTGTAGATGATTAGTATACCTCTGAAGAACAATCTAGTGTTAGGTAGAGAATGAGCAGGATAGTTTGCCCAGTGTTGGGGGTTACGTAATCAGATTACTTTATGAGTAACGGAGTAAAGTAACAAGTACATTTCTCAAATTGGGTTATTGGTCCCCAAGAACACAGTGGCCTCCATCATTCTTAAATGGAAGAAGTTTGGAACCACCAAGACTCTTCCTAGAGCTGGCCACCCAGCTAAATTGAGCAATTGGGGGAGAAGGGCCTTGGTCAAGGAGGACAACGACCCTAAGCACACAGCCAAGACAATGCAGGAGTGGCTTCGGTACAAGTCTCTGAATATCCTTGAGTGGCCCAGCCAGAGCCCGGACTTGAACCCGATCGAACATCTCTGGAGAGACCTGAAAATAGCTGTGCAGCGACGCTCCCCATCCAACCTGACAGAGCTTGAGAGGATCTGCAGAGAAGAACGGGAGAAACTCCCCAAATACATGTGTGCCAAGCTTGTAGCGTCATACCTAAGAAGACTTGAGGCTGTAATCGCTGCCGAAGGTACTTCAACAAAGTACTGAGTAAAGGGTCTTAATACTTCTGTAAATGTGATATTTCAGTATTTATTTATTTTTGGCAAAAAATGCAAAAAACTGTTTTTGCTTTGTCATTATGGGTTATTGTGTGTAGATTGATAAGTGGATTAAAAAAAAAAATAAGTTTAATTTAGAATAAGGCTGCAACGTAACAAAATGTGGGAAAAGTCAAGGGGTCTGAATACTTTCCGAATGCACTGTGTGTGCATATATGGCTAAGTAAGCAGCCCATATGATAGAGCAGCTTTTGTAGACTAGCACAGGAAAGCAGCGCCACAGATGAAAGGAGAAACTTGTGATCAAACTTGAGTTACTAAGTAACCTATCTTTGGTAGAGTAACACAAAGTAATGTGTAATATGTAATGTATTACTTTTTCAAGTAACTAATCACAACACTGATTGTGCCCAATGTGGAAACTCCCTTGTTTTGACAGTTAAGCTAATAGCATTAAAGAGCATGAATGAACCCTCTTCATCAAGTTCTTAAGGATTGAATGAAATAAACCCACCAAAGCTTGAAGTGGATCTAGCTAGGTTCTTACTGTGTGTTTTTTCTTGTGTTCTTGCAGACTCATCATTTATGGAAAACAGCATGGGTCCTGGTGAAAATGAAAGAGATGTAAGTATTCTAACCCTTCTATTAACAATACATTGGACCATTCATGTACTGTCTCTCTCTCTCTCTGTCCATGGGTACATATATATTTTTCTCTTTTTTTGGGGGGGGGGGGTAGATCACCTTTAATATTGCAGATAGATTGTAATTTCCATCAATGTAATTGTCTGCATCACTTCCAATCCCCCATGTTTTTATTTATATATATATATATATATATATATATATTACTCCCCTTTTATTACTTTTCAACCCCGCCATCTTACCCCTACTTGGGGTAAGTTAGTGAACAACAATGCTTACATATTTGACATTACATAGGTACATATTTTGCTGCAAAACCAATTTCCCATTGGGGATAATAAAATGTTCTACTACTGGGATGGGCAACTTTGATGGGGGTGTGGGATTACAAAAAGTCTGAACTCGTCATTATGGCCGCAGTGGCTCGTGGGTCTGCGTACCCACATTCATACCCACACATGCAGTCAGAGCCAGTCCTAGCCATTTGGGGGCCCTAAGTGAAAGAAATCCCCCCCCCCCCCTGGATAGAAAAACAGCGGTTTGCTGCAATTCTACTTATTCTGCCATGGGGCGGAGAGAAAAATTAACAGTTTCACAGATGATTTTCTGCAATTGCACTTGTATTTGACTATCAGACCCCGACTGAGTTTCCTTCTTTCTTCTTCCTTTTGGATTTCAGAGTGTGATGTCAGTTCAATCTTTGTCTAAATGTGTACAGATGTAGGGTCTTAATTTGAGCCAGTTTGCTACAGCAGGAAAATAATCCTGCAGCTACAGGAAATGTGAATTACTATATGGATTATAATTCATGGACATTTTTGTGGAAATTACAAACTTCAGAAGCCTTTCTAAACCTCAAATACACTGCAAGTTTTTAATTTCCTGAAAGTTTTCCTGCAACAGGGTGATCAAATTAAGATCCTACATCTGTATTTGAAATGTGTTCCCTCAGTCCCACCTGTCAGCACCTGGAGATCTGAGAGACATGAGAATGCCCCCTGATGTAGACATGAGGATGGGGCCTCCTCCCTTAGGACCCCCTGGTATGGGTCCCCTCCCACCCATGGACCCTTACTTTGCACGCAGAGGCCCCCCAGGCCCTTACGGACCCCCAGACTTCTTCCCCCCACGAGGTCCAGCAGGGCCCCCCATGGGCAGTAAGTATTAGTCTCTGTATCCTTTACACATTAAAGGCTCATATGTGCTTTGTAGTTATAATGCATTTATAACTGAAGGTTTTAAGTAGTGTTACAGAATGTTTTAATGTAATAATAATAACATAAACTATGGGTGGGAGATGAGGATTATCATTCTATACCGCATTCACTACATCAATACTGTTAATGACTAAATGTAAACCTTTCACCCTTGTTTCCCCTGAAGTGCGAGGGCCACCTCCCCCGGGAATGTTTGGGCGATTTCCACCTCCGTTGCATATGGGCTACCCTCCCATGAGGCCCCACCCTGACAGTTTCCCCCCTGGAACCCCTCCACCAGACAGCGAACAGCCTCCCGACCAGTCCCCTTCTCCACATGATGTCATCTGAGCCATCTCTTTCTCCCTCTTCGGGGGAGAAACTCTCTCTGCCTGCTTCCTGTGTGGCACTTCACTTCCTGTTGTGCTAGTAGTGAGCGACTGAGGATGTGCTCAGGGACTGGTTCATGAAGTGTAACCTTGAGTCATGTGACTGTCTTTCCGTTTTTTTAGAGGCCGACAGTGGAATTGTTTCCCCCCCAGTCTTTCGCACACAAAAATGTATTAGTGGCATAGGACTGTTATGAGAGAATACAATACCACCAGGAGTTTTACACAACTGGAAGTACTTAGTGATCATCTATGTAACAGTTCAGTACTGTTGCTATGTGTTTTTCTGATGTTGAATGCAGTGTCTTTTTGAAGCAGTTCTATAGTTATGTGAATCTGCTGATGGTAAACTGCCTGTGAGACTGCCTTGTTCTGAGTGGTGACTTGGACTAATTTGAGAAGGGTGTGTTTGCTTGCAATGTCAAAGCCTTTTTATTTTAACTTTGAAATAAGTCCCTAATTTCTCCCTCGCATTCTTCCCATGTATATAAAGAGAAAAATGCAATATTGTGAAAAGGGAAGTGTGTGTGTGTGTGTGTGTGTGTGTATACCAGCCGTAGTCCATTCACATGTCCTGTCAATTGAGCTGAAAGATGTTCATTACCTTTTAGCTGTGAGGTCTTGACCGTCCATAGTTTGATCATTGAATGTCATGAAATTACGGTAGTGTTATTAGCCTTGAAGGAATATGGAAATGTGATATTGTAAAAGTGTAATAAATTATGCTCAAGTGTTTAGTAAATCGCTTCAAAACAGATTATAGAATGAATTGCATTAAATAATAAATGAATGCCAGCTCACTGCTCTGTCTAATTAAGTAATTTTGTCTACTTAAGTCATATTTACATATTTTCAACTGGCATGCCATATTGGTCCTCTTCAGGTATATCTAACCCTTACATGACCTGAAAAGGACAATCAAATCAAATGTTATTTGCCACATGCGCCGATTACAACAGATGTAGACATTAGTGATATGCTTACTTACAAGCCCTTAACCAATAATGCAGTTTAAAAAATATATATATATTTTAACGGTATTAAGTAAAAAAGAGAAAATAAGCAAATAATTAAAGAGCAGCAGTAAAATAAAATGACAGTAGGGAGGCTATATACAGGGGGTACCGGTACAGAGTCAATGTGCGGGGGCACCGGTTAGTCGAGGTAATATGTACATGTGGGTAGAGTTAAAGTGACTATGCATAAATAATAAACAGAGTAGCAGCAGTGTAATAGAGGGGGTAGGGGTGGGGGGGCAATGCAAATAGTCCGGGTAGCCATGATTAGCTGTTCAGGAGTCTTATGGCTTGGGGGTAGAAGCTGTTAAGAAGCCTTTTGGACCTAGACATGGCGCTCCGGTACCGCTTGCCGTGCGGTAGCAGAGAGAACAGTCTATGACTAGGGTGGCTGGAGTCTTTGATAATTTTTAGGGCCTTCCTCTGACATCGCCTGGCATAGAGGTCCTGGATGGCAGGAAGCTTGGCCCCAGTGATGTACCGGGCCGTACGCACTACCCTCTGTAGTGCCTTGCGGTCGGACGGCCGAGCAGTTGCCATACCAGGCGGTGATGCAACCAGTCAGGATGCTCTCGATTGTGCAGCTGTAGAACCTTTTGAGGATCTGAGGACCCATGGCAAATCTTTTCAGTCTCCTGAGGGGGACTAGGTGTTGTCGTGCCCTCTTCATGGTCCTCTGTAGCTCAGCTGGTAGAGCACGGCGCTTGTAACGCCAAGGTAGTGGGTTCGATCCCCGGGACCACCCATACACAAAAATGTATGCACGCATGACTGTAAGTCGCTTTGGATAAAAGCGTCTGCTAAATGGCATATTATTATTATTATTATGACTGTCTTGGTGTGACCATGATAGTTTGTTGGTGATGTGAACACCAAGGAACTTGAAGCTCTCAACCTGTTCCACTACAACCCCGTCGATGAGAACGGGGGTGTGCTCAGTCCTCTTTTTTTTCCTGTAGTCCACAATCATCTCCTTTGTCTTGATCACGTTGAGGGAGAGGTCGTTATCCTGGCACCACACGGCCAGGTCACTGACCTCCTCCCTATAGGCTGTCTCATCGTTGTCTGTGATCAGGCCTACCACTGTTGTGTCGTCGGCAAACTTAATGATGGTGTTGGAGTCGTGCCTGGTCCATGCCGTCATGGGTGAACAGGGAGTACAGGAGGGTTCTGAGCACGCACCCCTGAGGGTCCCCCGTGTTGAGGATCAGCGTGGCAGATGTGTTGTTACCTACCCTTACCACCTGGGGGCGGCCCGTCAGGAAGTTCCTTTTGTCCAGGTGGGAAAGGGCAGTGTGGAGTGCAATCGAGATTCCATCATCTGTGGATCTGTTGGGGCGGTATGCAAATTGGAGTGGGTCTAGGGTTTCTGGGATAATGGTGTTGTGAGCCATGACCAGCCTTTCAAAGCACTTCATGGCTACAGACGTGAGTGCTACGGGTCGGTAGTCATTTAGGCAGGTTATCTTAGTGTTCCTGGGCACAGGGACTATGGTGGTCTGCTTGAAACATGTTGGTATTACAGAGTTGAAATGTCAGTGATGACACTTGCCAGTTGGTCAGCGCATGCTCGGAGTACACGTCCTGGTAATCCGTCTGGTCCTGAGGCCTTGTGAATGTTGACCTGCTTAAAAGTCTTACTCACATCGGCTACAGAGAGCGTTATCACAGTCCGGAACAGCTGATGCTCTCATGCATGCTTCAGTGTTGCTTGCCTCGAAGCGAGCATAGAAGTGATTTAGCTAATCTGGTAGGCTTGTGTCACTGGGCAGCTCGCGGCTGTGCTTCCCTTTGTAGTCTGTAATAGTTTTCAAGCCCTGCCACATCCGACGAGCGTCAGAGCCAGTGTAGTATGATTCAATCTTGGTCCTGTATTGACTCTTTGCATGTTTGATGGTTCGTCGGAGGGCATAGCGGGATTTCTTATAAGTGTCCGGGTTAAAGTCCCGCTCCTTGAAAGCGGCAGCTCTACCCCTTTAGCTCAGTGTGGATGTTGCCTGTAATCCATGGCTTCTGGTTGGGGTATGTACATACGGTCACTGTGGGGACGACGTCATTGATGCACTTATTGATGAAGCCAGTGACTGATGTGGTGTACTCCTCAATGCTATCGGAAGAATCTCTGAACATATTCCAGTCTGTGCTAGCAAAACAGTCCTGTAGCTTAGCATCTGCATCATCTGACCACTTCCTTATTAACCGAGTCACTGGTGCTTACTGCTTTAGTTTTTGCTTGTAAGCAGGAATCAGGAGGATAGAGTTATGGTCAGATTTGCCAAATGGAGGGCGAGGGAGAGCTTTGCACGCGTCTCTGTGTGTGGAGTAAAGGTGGTCTAGAGTTTTTTTTCCTCTGGTTGCACATTTAACATGCTGGTAGAAATTAGGTAGAACGGATTTAAGTTTCCCTGCATTAAAGTCCCCAGCCACTAGGAGTGCTGCCTCTGGATGAGCGTTTTCCTGTTTACTTATGGCCTTATACAGCTCATTGAGTGCAATCTTTGTGCCAGCATTGGTTTGTGGTGGTAAATAGACAGCTACGAAAAAATATAGATAAACTCTCTTGGTAAATAGTGTGGTCTACAGCTTATCATTAGATACTCTACCTCAGGCAAGCAAAACCTTGAGACATCCTTAGTATTAGATTTTATGCACCAGCTGTTTAGCTCTGACATGTTCCTGTACACTGGGTCATGGAAGGTAAAATTACACCCGACATAAAAGGTAAAGCACTGCAAAAAAAACTAGGATCAGCAAAGGATTATTGCAACTCAAACTAAGCCTCCATGAATAACACAAAAACCATGTTTGTCTTTATAATGCTTTTATTCACTGGTTTAAAAGAAGAACCATTCAACATTCAGCTGGTTTATCCAATATCTGTCAGTTAAGTTTTTTCATAGGCTTTTCCTTTAGCTATCTTGGAATCTTGGATCACTTTTCAAATAAAAATTCTCTCCACACAGGCATTTTCACACCTGCGCCAGTTGAGTTCCCATTTGCAGATGTACTGTACATATAAAATCCAATGCTATGCACTCACTTGAGACAAACAGTTGACAGAACACACCTGTCCAAATATTTAAACATTTAAGATGGTTTTACCATGGTGGCCACTTGTAATATACGGTGCCTTCGGAAAGTATTCAGACCCCTTTACTTTTTCCACTTTGTTACGTTACAGCATTATTCTACAGTTGATTAAATAAATAAAAAATCTCAGCAATCTACACAACACTCCATAATGACAAAGCGAACAGGTTTCTACACATTTTTACAAATTCCAAAAAACTGAAATACCTTCTTTACAGCAGTATTCAGAACCTTTGCTATGAGACTCGAAATTGAGCTCAGGTGCATCCTGTTTCCACTGATCATCCTTGAGATGTTTCTGCAACTTGATTGGAGTCCACCAATTAAATTGATTAGACATGATTTGGAAAGGCACACACCTGTCTATATAAGGTCCCACAGTTGACAGTGCATGTCAGAGCAAAACCAAAGCCATGAGGTTGAAGGAATTGTCCATAGAGCTCAGAGACAGGATGGTGTCGAGGCACAGATCTGGGGAAGGGTACCAAAACATTTCTGCAGCATTGAAGGTCCCCAAGAACACAGTGACCTCCATCATTCTTAAATGGAAGAAGTTTGGAAACCGCCAAGACTTCCTAGAGCTGGCCACCCAGCCAAACTGAGCAATCGGGGGAGAAGGGCCTTGGTCAGGGAGGTGACCAAGAACACGATGGTCACTCTGACAGAGCTCCAGAGTTCCTCTGTGGAGATGTGAGAACCTTCCAAAAGGACAACCATCTCTGCAGCATTCCACCAATCAGGCCTTTATGGTAGAGGGGCCAGACGCAAGCCACTCCTCAGTAAAAGGCACATGACAGCCCGCTTGGAGTTTGCCAAAAGGCACCTAAAGACTCTCAGACCATGATTCTCTGGTCTGATGAAACCAAGATTGAACTCTTTGTCCTTGAATGCCAAGCGTCACATCTGGAGGAAACCTGGCACCACCCCTACGGTGAAGCATGGTGGTGGCAGCATCATGCTGTGGAGATGTTTTTCAGCGGCAGGGACTGGGAGACTAGTCAGGATCGAGGCAAAGATGAACAGAGCAAAGTACAGAGAGATCCTTGATGAAAACCTGCTCAGGACCTCAGACTGGGGCGAAGGTTCACCTTCCAACAGGACAACGACCCTAAGCACACAGCCAAGACAACGCAGGAGTGGCTTCGGGATAAGTCTCAATGTGCTTGAGTGGCCCAGCCAGAGCCCGGACTTGAACCCGATCGAACATCTCTGGAGAGACCTGAAAATACAGGTGTGCCAAGTTTATAGAGCTACACCCAAGAAGATTCGGGGCTGTAATCGCTGTCAAAGGTGTTTCAACAAAGTACTGAGTAAAGGGTCTGAATACTTATGTAAATGTGATCAGTTTATTTTTAATACATTTGCAAACATTTCTAAAAACCTGTTTTTGCTTCGTCATTATGGAGTATTGTGTGTGATTGATGAAGGGAAAAAAAACGATTTAATCCTTTTTAGAATAAGGCTGTAACCTAACAAAATGTGGAAAAAGTCAAGTGGTCTGAACACTTTCCGAAGGCATTGTTTGACTTATTTTGCTATAAAATATCCTGATTTTAAACAAATGCACAACATTCATACCACTTAAAACTAGGGCCTGCTGGCCAGTCTCATAGAGACCATGTCTGTAACCCACAGTAGCCTTTGAAACAGAGTTTGGCTTCTGAAGAATCAAGATCTTAAAACAATAATAATAATAATCATAATAAATTGTTATTTCCATTTGTAAGTGACAGAAAAATAAAAGCCACTGGATTATATGCATTCCACTTGCATAGTTTGACTTGGCTGTAATGCAAGCCAGCCATTAAGAGATGTGGCATGTTTCAAGCTCGCCTCCCTCCTGACCCCCACAACAGTGGACCTGTGATATGATAGTGGTTCAGGTTTTTAATAATGGAATAAAACCAAACAGAATTCTCCTCACTCAGGTCTCTTGACTTCAAGTGTTTACACTCTTAATAAGGCTGGTATGAGGTCATTTAGCTGTAAGGTCCTAGCTTTCTCAGCTCAATGAGCTTCTACAGGCAACAGTTAACTCTCTGAGATGGACCTGCCCTCAAGCAGCTCTCTATAGCTACATAGCTTCCTCCTATTCAACAAGAGAGATGTTATTTATGATTCCATATAAAGTGTCAAGAAAAAGGGATCCAACTGAGTTGTAAGCTGTAATAACCTAACTGGTCTTTTTCTCCAGAGTAACAAAATATCTCCACTGCTATGATCTGCCTGTTAACATGCAGAGTGAGACTGGGCTACACAACCACCTCTTTATGACTTCACACAGCAAACAATTTTTTCATCAAAGACCAATTGTGCACCATCTACTGGATCCCATTACCCCTAAAAAAAATAAAAATGTTTCATGCAGACATTTGGCCATTTTCTGTTTTTGTTTTTAACTCCCCAGTGGAATGTTCCTTACACGTCTCATAGCAGCGTACAGGTCTGAAAGAACCAACCAAACTTGATTTTATCTATACTTAAATTACATTCACTTTTCACAGTGAAACTGGTGCATTTGTAGAGAAAGCTCTATTGTTGACCATGCCACAGCACAGCTGTGCACCACATGTGGTCCAACTTCACCCCCTATTCAGTAAGTATATTTCTAGTAGTATTTGTAGAGGAGCAGTCGTAGTGGTACATCTTGGCTGATCAGGCATTGGCTCTGCCCTCTGCCAGCATGTGGCCACTTCATAAAGGTTGTTTCACACAGTTATCTTTGGCAGCTGACGCAGACAGGCTGACAGACCGTTTAATTTAATCCAGTGACTTGTTGGAAAAAATATTCATCCTAACTTTCATCATTTTGTTGAAGCCTGGAACTCCTCAACTGACAGTAACCCTGAGAAAGGTTGTTTCCTGCTCACTGGTGAGAAAGTGGTACACCATGCTTTACTTCAAGCACACCATACACCCCCTTCTCTGTTGTATGCACTTCTGAAACTTTACAAACACACAACCCCCCCCCCCCCCCCCCCCCCCCCAACAAAAAACCCCACTAATGCGTAAATGAGCTATGCTTCTTTAACGGTAGTCAAATGCTGTACTAGACAATGAATGGTGAACTGGAAACGAACACAGAACAAACAGAACGACATTTGAAAATAAATGAAAGCTACTCTGGATTTTAGGCACAGCATGAATGCAACATTAGGATATTTTACACATTGTAACAATTGACTGGCATTTGTCATCCTCTAACAAGGTCTTACACGACCCCTGTTCAGCACAAACAAACAAGTTAACTCCAAATATAGAATAATATTATCTATATCCTTTTTGGCGTGGTACTAAAAATAGACAGGAATAAAATAAAAACAACTTTTAGAATCCCTCTGTTAACATGCATATAGTTTCAATATTCGTTTTTCCCAAATCGCTGCTTCTCATGCATAAACCGTAGATAGACTAAGTTTAACCCAAGTGGAACCTTGCATGCAGGCTCATATCTGACTGCAACAACTAAACAGGTTAGTAATGGATCACACACACTTCTTGCCATCTGATGCCAGATGTTTCTAGGCAAACTTATTTCCCCCCTCAATATACAGAACTTTGCATACTGTGTTTCTCTTCCTTGACTAAAATGGCTGGCTTTGGTAGTACCAATGAAAGTCATGGCCACGGAGGAAGGCAACAAGTAGTAATAGCTGACCGACGGCTTCACAAACCACACAAGATCAAGAGAAACCTACTCTCCTCTTCTCCGGAATGTTCCAACATCTCAGCTGCATAGAACAACCAGAGGTCACCTATTCCAAGCCACACACACACACACACACACTACCACAGGGTTCTTCAATTCCGGTCCTGGAGGGCCGAAACACCTCTGTTTTTCATCCTCTCCTTCTAATCAGGGGCTAATTCAGACCTGGGACACCAGGTGAGTGCAATTAACTACCAGGTAGAAATAAAAAACAGAAGTGTTTCGGCCCTCCAGTACCGGAATTGAAGAACCCTGCACTACTGCGTTATCAGTCAAGACTGGCTCCCTAAGCTTTACAAGCAAAAATAAAGAAGAAGATAAGCGTATACAGGGGGAATTCTGGATAGCAGACAACTTTACACATTAAAAAGGGTTGTTAGCTTCACATTTACATTCTACCACTGAGCAATCAACCTCAGATTCCCTCTACTACACTGAGCTCTAAAACGTCAAATACACAATAGAAAACGTAATTAAAAGTATTTTCACAGACACACATCAAGGATGTTAACCTTCTTAAAAGTTAAGAGAAAACTAGAAGGCGGGGCTAGAAAAAGAAAACCAACAACCTCTGGTGTGCGTAGTGTTGGAAGAGCTCTTTCCACAGTATTAGTTTCCAGTATTCAGCCACACCACCACGCACACTGGCCCGCAGATCAACATACAGTTTTATATTAAAAGAAAGCCTTCATTGGACAAATTTACTGAAGGTGCAAAAATCCTGAGATTTGGAACAAGCAAACCAATGCCTCCCTCCATCCAACGCTCAGCAGGTGAAATACTGTGGGCCTGTAGAGAAACATGTGCAAGGAGTAGCTTTTTGCCATTCTTTAAACACCTTCATCTTAAAACAAATGTATGACTAAGTTTGTTTACCCCATGGTAAAAGGGGCAGATTTGATGGCAAAAACTACTGAATCCAGAGAACAAGGGGTTTTCCAAGGCAACTGTGACAAAAAAAACTGGATTAAACTGACAGACTAGCTGATTGTTTCATAGTATATACATCCTCATCATCACCATCTTCAAAATCATGTTTTGCCCACCTGAGACAAAGGATTTTTCTGAGAGCAAACTGCAGCGTATGACTCGCAATGCTGACCCCTGACTTAAGTACTGCAGTAGAACGTAGGAAGCTCACAGGGTCTCAGCATGAGTGTGTCAGTGTGGAAACCTCAGCAATCGGTTTCACCAGCAGAAGTGTATCATATCCCACCTCTGGGTTAAGAAGAACCAGCAGGATCTTAGTCCCGTTACATAGCAACAATATAATCTCCAAAACACAAAAGTAAAGATCTGACAGGATCTTGTTGGGCTGAGGGGGGCCTAACCACACTCCATCAGCACTGTCCCTCCCTCTGCCGGAAGACTACTAGACTAATCTCCCCTAAAAAAATGTGAACGAACAAGTACACAGGATTCCATCATTGCAAAAAACCAAGGTGGATTAACTGATAGTTAGTTTACAGTAACTCTGCACTTGCTAAGAGAAAAAACAACAGACAGACAAAACACAAAGCAAAAAATAAAACTTGCAATTCAACTAAATAAGCTAGCTGTGTAAAAAAGCCCCCTTGCAACACCAATCGCTCATTTAGCTACTAAACAAATACTTGACTATACTCTCCTATTCATAAGCAGGATAGATTATATATATATATATATATATATACACACACACACACACACACATACACACACACATATAGATATAGAGCTTATACTGATAAACATGGCACATACAAAGGATAATAAGTTCATGCTACAGAGAAGAAAATATAAACAAACAAAAGTAAATGAGATAGGACCTATAAGGTGATTAGATCATCAAGACAAGCACTGAGCATGTGCAGCAGGCCAGACCAGACCAGGGTTGTGTTCATTAGGGCACGCAATGGAAAACTTTTTGTAGCAGAAAATTAGCGTTTATTGGACAAGTGTGGTCCCTCCCTGTTTAGGTATTGTTTTCTTTTGTTTGATGCCTAATGAACACGACCCAGATGACGGCCTGGTCTGGCGGCTGTAGCTCTAGCCTACATGCCCAGGCTGAAGCTCTGCATCTCCCTGTGGAAGTGCTGGGTGGGCTCGCTGAGGACCAGGTTGGAGTCCATAGAGGGGTGCCAGACGCGCCCCAGGCCCAGGGACACCTCCTTCACCAGGTTGTGGACGGGGTCACCCTCCATGAAGACCCTCTGGTCTGGGTCGAAGTCGATGCTCTCCTCGGACACGGCCAGGACCTTGAGGCTGGAGCCACGCAGACGGGAGATGGCCACCAGATTGTGGGACCACACAGTGTAGCCTGTAGTGTTCATACAGAGGAGAATCACATTGAAAGCCACTGTAGAAAGAACATACTGCATACTGAATGTAAACCAACTCCATTTGATCTGTGCTATACATATCAACATGCTGCCAATATGACCTCTGCAATACACACATTAGGGCTGTCCCCCCCCAAAAATAAATAATCTTGCTCGACCAATCGATTGGTCAATTTTAAAATGTGAAATGTTTCCATATACTGACACATCCTATGTGTTTTAATAAAATCAATTATATGCACTGAGCTTCTCTGATGCTTTAAGGAAACTGTTTGATGAAATAGTTAAGACACACAAATGACTAAAGGGAGTCCGACCGCAATTGATTTGATTGTGCCGGGCCTGGCTCAGACTGTGTTAAAAAAAAAAAGACAACGCGTGACTGTGACTAGCATCTGTTGTCCCTCTCGCTCCTTCCTGCTGCAGCGACCACCACAGAACATCAACAGTGTGTATCGCACTGTCCGTGTTGCTGAAGCAGCATCATAATTACAGCCATTTCTGACTGAAGTGTTAAGTTACCGAAATCCTTAATTTGTGTAGGAAAAACATTTCCTATTCCCTCAACCCTTGCTCTCGTTACGTGACATGTAAGCATCGCATGCATGTGACCAATAGGGCCTGACCTATAGCATATCATAATCACATCAATAAATTGGTTATAAACTCTGAACACCGTAACACGTGAAGGGCCTTGGTCAGGGAGGTGAAGAATGGGAGAAACTCCCCAAATACAGGTGTGCCAAGCTTATAGCATCATACCCAAGATGACTTGAGGCTGTAATCGCTGCCAAAGGTGCTTCAACAAAGTACAGACTAAAGGGTCTGAATACTGTTTTTTATTTTTAAGACATTTGCAAACATTTCTAAAAACCTGTTTTAGCTTTGTCATTATGGGGTATTGTGTGTCGATTGATGAGGAAAAACATGTATTTAATCAATTTTAGAATAAGGCTGTAACGTACCAAAATGTGGAAAAAGTCAAGGGGTCTGAATACTTTCCAAATGCACTGTGAGTACTGAAATATAGGCCGAAGTAAGTTACGGTATTAAGACTAAACAGGATGCGATCTTAGGCCTACAGCTCGATAGTGGTTATACAAGGCTTCTATACTAAGCCTACTAATGAGAATGACATTACTTATTATTATAATTATCATAATAATAATAAAAATAAGAAGGAGATCAAGGAAAAAGGAGGGTTATTATTATTATCAATATAATTCTTCTGACAATTTGGAACAGTGCAAACACTAAATGAATTATAAATAATACCAGAGGCTGGTATAACGATAAAAAAAAGTGTAAAGCCTTTATTACATCATAGCAAAGATTAAAAATAGCCTAAAAATAGCCATATTTGTTTATCTGACATGTTGTTGCTTGAGGCTTGGTGCTCACGGAATCAGTAGGCTATTAAACAAGCACTCAAACAGGCAACAGAAGCAGGATGAGTCTTATTTCTGTAGATATATATGGATGTTATTATCTTTTACCTCTTTTTTGTCCCCAATTTCCTGATATCCAATTGCGATCCAATTACGATCTTGTCTCATCGCTGCAACTCCCCAACGGGCTCGGGAGAGGCGAAGGTAGAGTCATGCGTCCTTCTTAACACCTGCCCGCTTAACCCGGAAGCCAGCCGCACCAATGTGTCGGAGGAAACACTGTTCAACTGACGACCGAAGTCAGCCTGCAGGCGCCCGGCCCGCCACAAGGAGTTGCTAGAGCACGATCAGCCAAGTAAAGCCCCCCCGGCCAAACCTTCCCCTAACCCAGACAACGCTGGGCCAATTGTGCGCCGCCCTATGGGACTCCCGGTCACGGCCGGTTGTGACACAGACTGGGATCGAACCCGGGTCTGTAGTGATGCCTCAAGCGCTGCGATGCAGTGCCTTAGACCGCTGTGCCACTCGGGAGGCTTATGGATGATTTATAAAGTCAGGCACATTAACAGTTAGGCCTATAGACCTAATTAAGTTCGGGTTTCCTCTCTTCTCACTTTTCTTGGACAATTAAGGCAAGGTCTGTTTTCTCATCTCCTAACTTGGCTGCTGCCTCCACCGCATTGTTCTCAACACCAATATGCTGGTTAACTTTGCTATTACGCACTTAGCAACATGGTCTAGGAAAAAGTGCCAATTCAACAGCGCACTGATGTGTTTCAGAACCGCGGACAGCGACCACTATCCAACGTGGGAGAAAGCGCACGTTATAAAATTATATTTTTATTTGTGTTGCACCATTGTTCTTACATAATATAACCATATACAATTTCAGTATTACATCTCTTAGCCTGCTGGACTGTGCCATCCCCACGGCCTCCACAATTGATCAGTCCACTCAGACAGGCGCAAATCATACCGGTGTCTTTTTTGTTGTTGCTACTGCTCAACTAAAGAAATATTGGTCGACCAACAGCCTATCGACCAAACAATCAACCAGTCGACTAAATGGGGTCAGCCCTACTAGACATAACATTCCTCCCAGAAATAACCAGTAATAAATATTTCTATCAGAACATCTTGTAGAACCCATGCCACTGGAAATCAATCACTCCTATTAAAAAGTTAGGCTACACTAAAACAGTTGTGAGCTATGTAATGCTAGCTTCTGGGCCAGGCTCACCGTGGATGACCAGGACAGAGAGGTGTACGCAGCGCCAGGCCAGTAGGACCAGCGGGTCCTCGTTGCGGTTGATGCTGAGGTCAGGGAAGCTGGTGTCATCCCTCATCAGGACGAAGTGGCTCAGGGTCTTGTTGTACTGCTGGGCAATGAGCTCCAGGGTGCCGTCTGTGACCAAGGTGGAGTAGCTGTCAAGGTGGATCCTCTCCAGGGGCAGGCTGGGTTTTAGCACCCTCAGCAGGTCCTGGCTGCAAACATCCAGGGCCATCATGTAGACCCGCAGGTTAGCGCTGCGGTGGACCAGGGCCTTCCAGTCATCCTCACTGGCGGTGCCATCCAGCGGCTTAGCCTCCAGAGCAGCGCCGTTGAGCATCAGGGAGAGGCGATGTAGTGGAGCACGGTCTCCTCCAGCCAGTAGGTGGCTCAACTCAGAGGTGAAGTCACAGAAGTCGAGGGCCAGGGAACGCAGGTGGACCAGCCGCTCCAGCTCCACAGGTGAGACCAGGCAAGGCAGCTGGTTGTCCAGCAGGCCGAGGTGCTCCAGGGAGCCGGCGCTGGGGTTGGACAGAGAGGCCAGGGAGCATGGGGTCACCACGCCCAGCATGAAGGCAGAGGACAGCCACTTTATCTGCCTGCTGTTAGACAGAACCTCCACTAACAGCTGCTGGATCCTACCCCGGCCCAGAGGAAAACACAGAAATAAAGTTTGAAAACGTTTGTAAAATTTTGTATCTCTTCCATATCTGCAAATAAAGGCCTACTCACTGACAATCAATACAGAAACAAAAACTGTATGGGCAGAACAGAGATCCTATTAAAGTACCTATGTGTTCTATGTAATTATATGAGGCTGAATTTCAACTGAGTATTTTTCTGTGCGACCTGGAAGAAAAATTAACGATTCTAGCTTCATACATTTCTTTGTGTGTGCCTACATTTTTCAACTTAGGTGCAGACGTGCTCCTTGTAAAAAAGGTCAGTGTAGAGCCCTGCTGTATGCCCTTTTGTCTCCCTGGGCAAGATGTAGCCTTGCCTAAAAGCTACTCACTCTTTGATTTTCTTGCCTCCTTGGTCAACCTGGTTGAGATAGGCACTGTCCAGAATGCCCTCATCCTGAAGAATGCAGGTATCCCCATACAGACTCAGCTTCTGGATATTTCTGAGACAGGGAGCGAGAGAGAACGGGCCGAGAGAGAGGGGTGGGAGGGGGTGAGAGAGATATGAGCTTTAGTCAAAATCGGACACAATCAGCCATAGTGGAGGTCAGTGACAGTATGTTCTAATTGTGGTCTGCAACAAACAACTGCAAGCACAATCAAACAGTATGTCCTCACCAATTTGCCAGAAGGCCTCTGACAATCAGCACCTTTCAACATCACACACTGGTGTCCACCACAAACCTGGCGGACTAAATTCCACTCCATGGTGACTTCCTTCACCATTGAGTGGAGTTTGGTCCACTACCACAAACCCAGCTTTCCTCATTTGACTGTGCCACTAACATCTCTTGAACTCTCTTTCACAAGTGTGCTGTTATTGAATGAACACTGGAATTAGTTACCATCAAAGAAATGCCTCAAGACACCTTTAAGCCATCTCTGTGGCAGTGCAAGTGGAACTTTTCAGGACACAAATGTGTCCAAAAGATATTGGCATATTGCAAGTACAGGTTTGAAAAGACAAGAGTTGCATTTGACAGCATGCTGCCAATGTCATTGTTGACCTCAGTGGTTCAGCCTGAGCATGACCACCACTGATGCAATGTTGTTCAAATGTAATTGTAAAAAATCCTTGCAACATTCTCTGCATAGCAAGCAGAAAAACACACTTCAAACTGACATGCCCTATACCAAGTAGTTAGATTATAGCTTCAACAGATTGAAAACCACACAAGCAGTGTAACGTTAAATAGAAATCCGTAGATTAACCACATGACCCGATTACGTAATGACATGGGTTTGTTTATAGGTAGGCTAAACTAGCTACTAAACGTTAGCTGACTTCGACCCGACAAACACTCAAATTGACAAGTATGGAGTTGCTGACGCACTTTGCTTTAAACATGCATTGAATAATTGTTGTAACTATCCAACTACCTGTTGTTTCGAATACATCCGAGCACACACAACACCTGTTCCAAATAGGTGATCATTGCGTTTTTCCAGCGGTCAGGCAAAGGAGGGTCGCTTTCTACAGGTTCCATCCTGCCCTCAACTCCGCTCAGTGGGCTTAGATATCCTTCCACAGCCGCAACCTCGAGATGTAGCTCGCGCACGAAAGAGCCAAACTTCCTCATGAGAAATTCTAATCTTGGGGTCTGTTCGGTGCCAGAGCCTCCCCAGTTTGCACCACCTCCGACACGCAACTTCAGCTCCGTCCAAAGCGATGGGTAAAACAGACACTCCCTCCAGCGAGAGCACACTGACGAGGCCCGAAGCTTGTCACGGTCGGACAAGAAGGAAAATATATGGACGATAAGCTCGCTAGGTAAAGCCATGGCTCCGACACCCCCGTACAGAGCCATGGCGCAGACCACTAAACTACGGTATTAATCGCGGACAGAAAGTGTAAACATAACCGTTAAACGATTGTTCGACACCAGTACAGTTCCGGTACTCGCGCTCTGTAAAAACAAACATCATCCAACAGATTTGCTTTCAATACTATTGGATCATACCACTTATGACTACGTGGCGATGAAAACAATACTCTGCAACATTCCACTTTTTGAAACAGGCCGACATAATTTGTTTTCCTTATTCATTCATATGTTTGATATACTTTCATTTTCTCTAGAATATGTTGTTCATTTAGTTGTCATCTGCAAATGTAGTGTTATTTTATCAAACCATTTCCAATAATGGTTTGGCCCAATGACTGTTATTTTTGCCATACCTCTCAAGTGTGCAAGGGGGAGAACTTTCACTGCGGTTGAGTCCCCCACATGAGGGGTGATTTTATTTAATTCTCTGCCCACGCAAAGACCACGTCGTTTTCTCTTTGCACACTCTTTACCGTTATAGTGTAGGATACCATATTATTGACCTTATAACAAGCATAGCCTTTTCCAATGCTGTAGAAATGTAAAAGCAATTATTTTTCACGGACATTATATCCAATAGCAGATATGAATGCCATATACACACAATTGGTTGCATCCCACAATTTCTTATCTGTAAACTGATGGCATGGGAAAGAAGAACCAATCAGGTCGAGGCAGGAATCATGGCCGAAGTGAATGCCGAGTTTGAAACGAGAAGTGCATCGAGTAGAGTTGGAGAAGGAGAGAGAAAAAATGGCATCTTAGGGCTGGATGAGGAAAGTGGAACGTGAGGAAAGTGGAACGTATGAGTAAATATGGAGTGGGGGATTTCAGAAGCCTTCTGCAAGATCTGATGAAGGAGAAGATGGTGGACAAGAAAAAAGAAGGAAAAATTGAACATGTTTTGAGTGAATATGGAATAGAGGATCATACAGAACTTTTGGAAGAGCTACAGAAGGAAATTGAACGTGACGAGAGTGAGGATGAAGTACCTGCGGTGAGGACCGTAGAATTCAAGCCTTGTCCAGATGATGACAAGGATAATTCTGGCCCAGTGGGAGTGAGATTTGTGGAGAGAATGGATCCTTGTATTCTGGCTGATACATATGTGGTGTCAGGTTGGATGGAGAAGAGGTTGGGGACTGTCGAGTTGGTGAAAGTAACTAAGTGGACTTGTGATGATTTATTGTGTTTCTTCCGTCCAGAGGGAGCGGGCGCTCTGAACCATGCGACTAGGGACAAGAACCGTGACTTGCTTTGCTCTTCGGAGCAGGGCGCTGTTGAAAGGCGTGATAATGGGGGTGGCATTAAGTATTGCTGAAGATCAGCTGAAATGGAAGATTCCTGGTGTCTGTGACACCCGCCGTTTGGTGCGACGCAGACCCGGTGGAGAGCGTGGTGAAACAGAGAAGACAGTCTGTTCTGCTGAGTTTTGATGCAGAATCTTTGCCCAACAAGGTCAAGTTAGGATGTGTTAGTTATCCTTCCAAAAATACTACAGTGTTATAGGTGCCAAGCTTATGGTCATGTCGCAGCAGTGTGTAGGAGGGAGATTCCAAGATGTGGGAAGTGTGCAGGAGGGGCATGAGATGAAGGAATGTGTAGTATCGGTGGAGAAAGTTGTGTGTGTAAGCTGTGGAGGGTGCCCATGGGGCTGGAGATCGGAGGTGTCCGGTGAGAGAAAGGCAGGTTGAGGTTTCCAGGCGTCAGAGTAGTACAGAAAGTGTCATATGCTGAAGCAGTGAAGAGAGTGGTAGAGGAAGATGGGTACATGGTGAGGGATCCTGAGAGGATTCCTGTGAGTAGGCAGAGACCAATAGAGAGGGATGGGAATAATATGTGAGGGATCCTGAGAGGATGTTACTAATCATGTCATTGCTACATGTCATTGCTACATTGGATGGACATACTATAGAGCAAGTCAAAGTGTACAAATATTTGGGAGTGTGGGTGGATGACAAGCTGAGCTTCACTGTTCATGTGGAGAACTTGATAAAGAAGCTCAAGCTGAGAATAGGTTTTTATTACCGGCATAAGGCTTGTTTTTCTCTGGACGCCAGGAAGGAGCTGGTACGATGTACATTACTGGCGGGTTTTTTACATTTTCTATTTTTTATTTAACCTTTATTTAACCAGTTAAGCCAGTTGAGAACAAGTTCTCATTTGGTGGTCCTCTGTAGCTCAGCTGGTAGAGCACGCCGCTTGTAACGCCAGGGTAGTGGGTTTGATCCCCGGGACAAAAATGTATGCACGCATGACTGTAAGTCGCTTTGGATAAAAGCGTCTGCTAAATGGCATATTATTATTTACAACTGTGACCTGGCCAAGATAAAGCAAAGCAGTGCGATAAAAAAAATACAACAGAAAATATATATACAGTGTGTGCAAATGTAGCAAGTTATGGAGGTAAGTCAGTAAATAGGCCATAGTGCAAAATAATTACAATTTAGTATTAACACTGGAATGATAGATGTGCAAGAGATGATGTGCAAATAGAGATACTGGGGTGCAAATGAGCAAAATAAATAACAATATGGGGATGAGGTAGTTGGGTGGGCTAATTTCAGATGGGCTGTGTACAGGTGCAGTGATCGGTAAGGTGCTCTGACAACTGATGCTTATAGTTAGTGAGGAGATAAGAGTCTCCAGATTCAGAGATTTTTGCAGTTCGTTCCAGTCATTGGCAGCAGAGAACTGGAAGGAATGGCGGCCAAAGGAGGTGTTGGCTTTGGGGATAACCAGTGAGATATACCTGCTGGAGCGCATACTACGGGTGGGTGTTGCTATGGTGACCAATGAGCTAAGATAAGGCGGGGATTTGCCTAGCAGTGATTTATAGATGACCTGGAGCCAGTGGGTTTGGCGACGAATATGTAGTGAGGACCAGCCAACAAGAGCGTACAGGTCACAGTGGTGGGTAGTATATGGGGCTTTGGTGACAAAACGGATGGCACTGTGATAGACTACATCCAATTTGCTGAGTAGAGTGTTGGAGGCTATTTTGTAAATGACATCGCCGAAGTCAAGGATCGGTAGGATAGTCAGTTTAACGAGGGCATGTTTGGCAGCATGAGTGAAGGAGGCTTTGTTTGCGAAATAGGAAGCCGATTCTAGATTTAACTTTGGATTGGAGATGCTTAATGTGAGTCTGGAAGGATAGTTTACAGTCTAACCAGACACCTAGGTATTTGTAGTTGTCCACATACTCTAGGTCAGACCCGCCGAGAGAAGTGATTCTAGTTGGGTGGGCGGGTACCAGCAGCGTTCGATTGAAGAGCATGCATTTAGATTTACTAGTGTTTAAGAGCAGTTGGAGGCTACGGAAGGAGTGTTGTATGGCATTGAAGCTCGTTTGGAGGTTTGTTAACACAGTGTCCAATGAAGGGCCAGATGTATACAAAATGGTGTCGTCTGCGTAGAGGTGGATCTGAGAGTCACCAGCAGCAAGAGCGACATCATTGATATACACAGAGAAAAGAGTCGGCCCGAGAATTGAACCCTGTGGCACCCCCATAGAGACTGCCAGAGGTCCAGACAACAGGCCCTCCTATTTGACACATTGAACTCTATCTGAGAAGTAGTTGGTGAACCAGGCGAGGCAGTCATTTGAGAAACCAAGGCTATTTAGTCTGCCAATAAGAATGCGGTGGTTGACAGAGTCGAAAGCCTTGACCAGGTCGATGAAGACGGCTGCACAGTACTGTCTATTATCGATCGCGGTTATAATATCGTTTAGGATCTTGAGCGTGGCTGAGGTGCACCCATGACCAGCTCGGAAACCGGATTGCATTGCGGAGAAGGTATGGTGGGATTCGAAATGGTCGGTGATCTGTTTGTTAACTTGGCTTTGAAAAGCTTTCGAAAGGCACGGCAGGATGGATATAGGTCTGTAACAGTTTGGATCTAGAGTGTCACCCCCTTTGAAGAGGGGGATGACCGCGGCAGCTTTCCAATCTCTGGGGATCTCAGACTTTACGAAAGAGAGGTTGCGACAATTTCAGCTGCTAATTTTAGAAAGAAAGGGTCCAGATTGTCTAGCCCAGATGATTTGTAGGGGTCCAGATTTTGCAGCTCTTTCAGAACATCAGCTGTCTGAATTTGTGTGAAGGAGAAGTGGGGGGGGGGGCATGGGCAAGTTTTAGGGGAGGGTGCAGAGCTGGTGGCCGGGGTAGTGGTAGCCAGGTGAAAAGCATGGCCAGCCGTAGCAAAATGCTTGTTGAAATTCTCGATTATTGTAGATTTATCGGTGGTGATAGTGTTTCCTAGCCTCAGTGCAGTGGGCAGCTGGGAGGAGGTGCTCTTATTCTCCATGGACTTTACAGTGTCCCAAAACGTTTTGGAGTTAGTGCTACAGGAAGCACATTTCTGTTTGAAAAAGCTAGCCTTTGCTTTCCTAACTGCTTGTGTATATTGGTTCCTAACTTCCCTGAAAAGTTGCATATCGCGGGGGCTATTCAATGCTAATGCAGTACGCCACAGGATGTTTTTGTGCTGGTCAAGGGCAGTCAAGTCTGAGGAGAACCAGGGGCTATATCTGTTCTTAGTTCTGAATTTGTTGAATGGGGCATGCTTATTTAAGATTGAGAGGAAAGCACTTTTAAAGAACAACCAGGCATACTCTACTGACGGAATGATATCGATATCCATCCAGGATACCTGGGCCAGGTCAATTAGGAAGGCCTGCTCGCTAAAGTGTTTTAGGGAGCGTTTGACAGTGATGAGGGGTGGTCGTTTGACCACGGACCCGTTACGGACGCAGGCAATAAGGCAGTGATCGCTGAGATCCTGGTTGAAGACAGCGGAGGTGTATTTAGAGGGTAAATTAGTCAGGATGATATCTATGAGGGTGCCCATGTTTACGGATTTAGGGTTGTACCTGGTAGGTTCCTTGATAATTTGTGTGAGATTGAGGGCATTTAGTTTGGATTGTAGGATGGCCGGGGTGTCAAGCATATCCCAGTTTAGGTCACCAAGCAGTACGAACTCTGAGGGTAGATGGGGGGAAATCAATTCACATATGGTGTCCAGGGCACAGCTGGGGGCTGAGGGGGGTCTGTAGCAAGCGGCAACAGTGAGAGACTTATTTCTGGAAAGG